AAGCGAATTTTCGGTTTTTACTCATCTTTTGTCCGATGACCAAACGAATAAGTTTTTTGATATCTATTTCTATTGTGCATATGTAGTGTTGAGGTTTGTTTAAGCTAACCAATCAAGCTTGTGACACAATTCAATCGGTTGGAATGCATTATAAATGATATGATTTGTATTCGCGTTTAGAGTGGAATGCCATTGAAGCTAAATTTTAAGAGAACACATAGGTACAATGTCGCCGCGAAGGATCTCCATGTAATAAGAATATTCACGCTTGATAACACGTGTGTGGAGTATACTGTATCCTCTAATACCACTGGGAGGGATGCTCTGGAGTATGTTGCTCAAAGGCTTGATATTGAGGATGTAAGATAAGTTTCTTGTGGTAAACTTTGATTCAGATTTATTTTTTCGGGTTTGTCTACGAAGACTGGGCTGGGGAACATCGGTGTTTGTTCCTGAACAAGTCGATCAAAAACAGCTGGATAAGTATGCGCGGCAGCATGCATTAACACTAACCGTTATGCTATTCATTGATAATCCACAGTTTATTCCAGATCCACAAATAAGGTGAGATTATTTGAATGCATTTTATTGGTAGACGTTGGTTCTATCTTCAGCTTCGAAGAAATGTTGCAACTGGTCTTTTACCAGTCACATTGAAATTAGCGATCAAGCTTCAAGCATACAGTCTTCAAGGTAACGTCTTTCCAAAACATTTTGAACGCATTTATCTGCATCTCACCATACGATGAGTTTCCCGTTACCCTTGTAACATGCGCTGTCTTTTTACAGCAGATTTTTTTCATCATGAAGCTTCAGTTAGTATTTTCAACCACGACAAGATCACCATAAATCCAAACATACTGCAGATTGCGTGCTGAGGGTGACATATTAAATTTCTGCTGGTTTGGTGAACAATTAGACATCCTAGAGAGTTATGGGACTGACTATTTCATGAGATATCACGAAAATATTCTCTAACAAGAACATATGTTAGCGGTCACGACGTCCCATAAATTTTAAAATAACTGCCAAATGTTTTTCTAACATCACTTTTGCCTGTTGTCGTACACTTATTGTAACTAAAAGTTTATTATGAGACAGCTACTCTGATTACACGGCATAAGGGGTCGGGCTTGCTGAGTAAAGTATTAAGACGCCAAGTCACTTAAATTTTGAAACAGTTTTCAAAACTTCATTAGAGCTCACGTAGTAAAGTATGTTCTTGTTCTGAAACGTTAATATCCTTGATTCATTCATAAACTTGTGAGTAGCTGGTCGTGTTACTCCTGCCTAACACCTGACAAGTACTAAGTAAATTAATATGCCCAAGTAGCAAACTGATCACTACCTTACCTATTAGTAAGTACTGATAAAAAGAAAAATAATAAAACACGCTGAACGATTAAAAGTGCTCAGAAAAGCAGGTTTTTGTTTGTCTGAGGTAGAAAAGTTATTTTGGGGGGAGATTATCAAGCTTATTTGTTAACGGCTGACCTAAAGACTCCGAGTGCATTGCCGCTAATAAGCACGAGAAAAACACATAAACGGTAAGTGTTAGTGGGCGGATGCCTACATGTTGAAACAAACTGATAGAACTAAATTCGACGTTCGAGACTCTGAGCGATTATTTAGCTACTGTTTCGGTATTTTGAATATTTATGTTTTTATTCTAAAAATAGCAGTATTTATGGTGCTAGGAAGGTGCACTACAAGTTAGACACAAATACCGTATAATTCCAAACTGAAACACACAAAAGATTCGAGTGGAAGTTAAGCCAAATGATCTATCAACACAGTTGGTGGCAGTCACATACTTAGGATCTATCTTCGTTTTTCCTCTCCCCTATTGTTGTTAGGTTTTGTTTCGTCTGTTAAAATAACGTATTTAGCAAGCTTCTTGTTGTTTTCTTTGCTTTCTTCAAACATTTTACCACCGACTTGTGCAAAAATATGGAAATCAACACCAGTTATGTCCAAAGTAGTAGAAATGTTTAAAAGACAGACATAAGAACACAGACTCATCACAGAAACATGATGTGATGTACGCCGAGATTTACCTACAATTTGGCAAACACTGGTGCAGTACCATTCAGGTGCAAGTCAAAAATAAAACACAATAAAACAGGAAAACAAATCAACACATATCCTTGCACAGAAGGGAATCAGACTTCAAAATTATATTCTGCTGACAACTTATAACATTCCCTAGTATATAAAATCACAGTGAAAGTGATTTTGCAAATGCTGCAAAGATCTGCAAACACTATAAGTAACTATGAAGTAATCCTTCTTTTCCAAAGAGTGGATCCTTGTTACTTGCATGTAGCTTATCGTTTTTGCCTATCGTTTTCTTTGAAATGTAGTTCATAATGTATTGGGATTAAGTCTTGCCTCGTATCCTTCAAGTTATTGAGTTTATTGCAGCTGCGACAATCTCTCTTTTTGATCAACTTGAATAATATTTTTAACACGTATCTGATTTCGATTTAATTACAACGACCTTTAGCAAAGTATTTGTTTTTGCGCACTGAAATAAACTGGACATCGGTAGTATCAAGATCAAAGCATTCAATTGTTAGCATAATCAAATGTTTTTGGGAGAGAATTTAAGTTGGACTGACATCCTGAAATGACACCACTGGACATAAATAGCTCGCTTGATATCTCATCATGAACTCTAAAATAGCCATGGAGGTTCAGATATGGAGCCCCGCTCTTCCCGAGCTTCAAGTTGACATCAGATTGTGATGGTTCCTGGATTCTTAGACTGTATACGTGTGAAGATGACTACTCTGTAGCCATAGCAGAATGGTGTTGCTTATTTCCTTAAAACTGGGAAATTCACGTATTGTGTTCAAGTAGAAAGTGTCATGCTTGATTCACAAACGCTTGCTAGCACTTCACTTAACCCAATGTACGACCTCCTGCCATCTTTAATATTGATCACGGATAGTGAATAGCAGTGGAATCAAGGACGCACGTTTCGTTCTGTTTGAGATCTGGTACCTGGATGTATCTGCTTCTTAGTGATGTTGTTCCCAATAAGACTCTGACCCACGACCAATCGCATGGCTAGCTATAAAATTAAGCAGTAATGGTATTTAGTTGAAAGAGACGAGTTTTAGAGACGGATTATTATCTACCTACATAAAAAGAACGGAATTTTATGTTGTCGCTCGCAATATTTCGTCGCTGATTGGTATGTATCATTTTGTTCGTATCAACCTTACTGCAATGTGGATTCATTGTAGTACTAATGGATGGTTTATTCTTTTGTTTAATATTTCTTGCTGTAACTTTTATTAGTGCCCAGGTTCCGTTAAAAAATATTTTACAGCAGGTATGTTCTTTGATAGAAATGTGGATGGTCTTCATTACTGCTTTTCTCGCAGTTTATGATTTTGTGTTGAATGTTTAGCTCTATCATTTATTTCACTAGTCAGAGCTGTTCATAATTAGATGGGCTTACTTATCTGTAGGCTCATTAAAAGTAATGACTTCTATAAAGATAATTAGTCACAGATATTATAAAGATCGAGGTTTAGAGAAGCCGCCTCATTTAATTTCTCTCCTCAAAAACTGATACAATATCTCGGCTGAATAATATCAAAAAACCTATATCATAACTTTTGCACCAAAGCAGCAAACAACAACTAATGAAATTCGTTTCTGTTATTTTTCCTTTTATATCTTTTGTGGAGATAAAAGAGTTTTATTCAGTTATTAATTTTCGCTTAAAACTGTTTTCGTTGCATCAAGCCGAGTTTGGAGATTTTGTGGACATTGAAACAACACTTTTCAACTGGAGAGAAAGGAATTTACATTCAGAAGTATGTTATTAGAACTATTCATCTTTATCTTTATTGATGCGTTAACTTCATAAATATTTGTTCATACCTTTGACTATAAGCACTTTATGCAATGTTACTTTTATTTGAGTAGAATAAAGCATGCATTGCTGTATTTGTTGATTGTTTACACTTTTGAAACCTAAATATTGATTTGACCGGATGGAAGCACTTTTAAATCTGTCTTTTGATACAGGAATGTATTTAAATGTTTCTGAAGCAGATTCGGCTAGAAATCTTAGACGACTGATCTATAGAGTTGTGTAGATGATTTTCATCTATCATGGCATGCATTCTGACTGCAATGGTTTAAGCTGAAAACATTTGTAGTTGTCAATAACGAGACATAGCATCAGTTTGTGAAAATGTTGGCGGTTCATCGTAGCAGCTTGGATAGTTAAGGGTAACCGTTTCGGGTCCTAGAAATATTAGAAACCAGTTGTTGCACAACTTATGAGGTATAACTCAATGTCTATCGCAGTAGTGTAGATAAACAAATTTTCTATCTTTCCCCAAATATACTCTTACTTGATATTTACGGTTGCGATTGCACTTACCACCTGTTTGAATCCATAATCTGATGAATTTCTTTATTCAAAACCAGTTTAACTAAAAGCTTTTACCTTGATCATAAGGATAAAATAATTTACATGTAAAAGTCTATTGCTATATAAACCAATTATACACTCATTATGCTAATTTACTCGGTTTTGGCTAGCAGAAGTATCCGCATAGGAGCCCATTGCCCAATAGAGGTCAAACAGTTCGATCCAGTATAACAACGGAGAATTACAGGCGTATCAACAAATAGTCATAATCATGTACTCAGTTATTGCTTCCCTACCATAAGATCTTATCCTTTTCTTAATATACGTTTTGAATCCAGTTTAGGCAAGATTCTGCATGACTGTGTGCCCATTATATTTTTCAAAAACCACTTTGATTTTTCCATAAGGCAGTAGTCAGTGTTTAAAGTCAATTTATTCTTCATCAAACAAAAGTACTTTTTTAAAAATAGCATACAGTCTTAAGGTTTTGTTGTATGGTTAGTATATTTAATTAGGTGCTTCAAACAACCAGCATGAGCCTTCATCTTAGTGACCCTTCAGCTGATTTCACTGGGTGATGAAAAGTATATTCGTACAAACAGAACAGAATTGTGGTATATCTAACCCATAATACATAATAACTGTAAAGAAATGCGTGAAACCTATTAATTGATCAGAAAGAAGATCAGAAACCATTAAATTTGATATCTTTGTGAGTTTCTGGAGCAAATTCACCGAAATATATGAGCAATGATTTATGTCAGTCATTGTTTTCATTTCCAAGTGATCCAACTACCATCTGGTAAGTCTAAACTCCAATAACGAAAATAACTTTAACTGTAACACTAATCTGCAGATAATACTATGTCATATTCCGTTAACGCGGTGTACGGTTTCCTGAAGAAAATGACGTTCACAACATTTTTGAGCAGTCGGAAAACTCCTGTGAATGATTTTATTCTGTTGTAATCTAAAACGTAAAGATAAAAAAATTAAGATAACTTAGACGAAAAAGAAGTGCTAGTACCTCCTTGTGCGTCAGGTAGCTTTACAACCAGTCACACGTCCCTCTTCTATGAAACAGATCTAAACCGTTTTTACTCACTAGCCTGATTACCACAAGTTTGCATCTTCAAGAGAATTTGATTCTTCTTAGTGCTGTAGAAATTTCCTGTGCAAGCAGCATAAAATGACACTTCATGGCTTAATTAAAGTGGATTCTAAATATCTATGATTCAACGAAATGTGGCACTTTCATTAGCACCTTACATCAAATAGGATATGTCTGTTGCTTTAAGGTGAGTACGATGAGGATCGAACGTCAAATACTAATTTATCTGGGTAGCTTTCTCGAACCGTAGTATGGACAGTGACACCTGATAACTCCAAAGCGTAGCAAAAATAGTCAAGTTAGTTGCTTCTGTAAAGTAACAGAAGCTGTCTCAACTCATGCAGCACACTGAAAATAGAAATCAGTAGTGGGAACGCATGTCCTGAATTTCGAAGTGCATTCAAACACTCTACAAATTACCTCAACAATCAATTCAAGTGGTCTGCGTTACCAGAAACTCTGATCACCATTTGACTTAGAATCCAACAGAAACTTTAAATAGTGGAGTGGTACGCAGTAGCCAGCCCATATCATATACCTCAAATGTTTTCAGAAATCAAAGTGCCATTCAACCCACAAAGCTTTTATTTTCCTACGAAATACAATTCTTACAAAATTTTCCATTATTTCGGCGTGATATCATACATGAACCAATTTTGAAAGGGAGTCGATTTTGTCCCCGAGAACTTGATTCATGTACAGCTAATAGTACAGAATGGTGGATTTGAAGATCATTATCTTAATTTTGCATACGTTGGTGGATTGAAAATCTTCAAATAAAACCTATTTGTTCATGCCGCTTAACGGTTCAACACTTCAGCAAACTAAAATCACATATTTATCTGTCTCTAAAGTGCCTCGTATGGTGAATTCGATCAACACAGAAACCTTTCAGCTGACTCACAATGATAATTCAGCAAAGCATTCCCAATTTTTTAAATTGAAGTTTATTTTAAATTATCGTTCTACGGCACTGTATCCTTAATTCCATTTTAGTTTGTCTATTAGAAGTGACATAATGAAGTAGTATTATTGATTGAATAACGTTTCTGACATAATTTATTGTCCGTATTCATATCACATCAACCTGAAACTTATCCTTTCAAAGTTTATGTATGGTTTTTGATTTCAGACACCTGTCGGTGCTTTCAATTTATCGACAACAGAATATGTGGATGATATAGTTTGGGGTTATTCGCATTTACAAGGAGTTTCTCAGGATAATGCTATATGGTACTTTTTAGATGAAATACGTCATATCCTCTTTATGGAGTCCGAACTTTTACAGGGATGGTAGGTACTTTTGTGATAAACAACTTCAATTCGATAATTTTTTATGGTAATACCCAGAAATTATGAGATTAGCTACAATATTAAGAAATCCTGAAGAGGTTAACATGGAGCAGACAACAAATTGTGGTGAGATGTAGTGCCATAGTCTCTCTAGGTCACTGGAAAAGGTGCAGACCCGTGTGTATAAGGAAAACACAACCTCTTTGTAGATAAACAAATCAATTCCATTAGATGATTTGAAAAAACTTCGGGTTAGGTAAATACTGTCCGTTGTTTAGATTCCAAAATAATGAGAACTTGACCCTTTTCTAGATATTACTATTTGTATATTTCTTGATAAATGATTGCAAGTTTGATAAATGGAAAACAGTTTAAACCTATACGTGTTGCCGACAGTTGCTTCCCACGCTTTGCAAGTACATCTGAATATAATTCAATAAAGACACTTTATGGAATCATAGTGAACAGATATCGAATTCGAAAACATAAATTACAGGATAACAGTAAAAGTGGTGATAACAATAAAATCATGCAAGAGCTTATGTAACCTCAGTGGTTAGTCGTCACTGGCGTACGAGTAAATTGTAAATGCGTTCCTGTCTACCCCTAAATAAAAAATGTGTCTTCTTAGCATTTTTCGAATCATACGCGTAATATACTAACATTTATCGTAAAAGAAACCTGCTTAGTTTGTTAATGGATAGCTGAAAATCAAAATCAAACTTTTCACACGAACAACTGTTTGTCTGCATTTTATGAAGGGGCTTAAGACAAAATTTAAAAGATTTTATTTTACTGGTCAGTATACTGCTTCTCTGGCAACTACTCCATCAATTACAACTGGATCCAACTGTTTTAATCAAATGATCTTACTAACTAGTGGATATACATATTCCTGAGAATACAAATTGACCATTTAATCGTGTCAAACTCGGTTCTTCTTTAATAAGAAATGTTGTAATACAAGTTATCATATATATATATATATATATATATATATATATATATATATATATATATATATATATATATATATATATATATATATATATATATATATATTAAGATACCAAGTTATAGTTCGTAGCCATTAAGAGAGGGTTTCAAAGATCATTTAGTTTCTCATAATGAAGTAAATGTTATGGGTAGGAAGCCATAAGTGAATATTGGAGTGTTCAGTGAAGATGCTAATGAGTCATATCTTCGCTTGCACTGATAAAATAACTAGATGAAATCTTATGAAACAAAATGAAATGTACCTTATATTCACTAATTGAATAATATTTCAAATCTCAAGACATGTCGAAATGAAGTTGCCGAGCTTGGTGTTTCCCGTAATGGTATAAACATTATCACATTTGAACCTCAGCGACAAACAATTGCTAATTTAAAGTAAGTTATATAACTGAAACCTCTTCTGCATGCAAAGCAAGAGGTTCCAGTAGGTTTACTAGCTTCATATGCATGTGCAAACATTTCTGCGGGGTTTATTTTACTAACTGTTATAAATGAAAACTTATATTTTGTCAAAAATTTTTGACAAGAGATAAGATTTGTATATTTCCTTTGTTGAGTGTTGACACCTTTCCTTACCCAGTTATTAGAAGAAAGTTTTTTGTTGTAGACGTTTTCACCGTGAAGAAAATTATTGTGAATTGAATTTCAGATAAATTTGTATTTTTTGCATAATAGTACGTCTCATGAAATAACAGATCACATATATCAGTGATCATCACTTGTATAAATGATGTTTTCAGAATTACGTACAAATCTGTTATGACTATTCCACTTAAGCTTGGACCAAACTGGTGAAAATAGAAGTAAAATACTAGTTTACATGTATGAGAATAGACTTAAAATCAGGAGTTGATGAAAGATCTCCATTTCTTGATTTTTTTACAATCACTTTTAATACTCTTTAACATGTGTCATCACTGACGATCGTTAAAATTCACTGCTGACTCCTAATTATTTCTGTCAACATGTGTAGCAGCTTCAAAATGACATACTTTTAGTTGACCTTAAGAGTTATGAGAAAATTAACACAAAATGTAAACTAGCATTCACTGTGATACAATGCCTGAGGTTCCAAAACCTTTCTAATAATCAGATATCACTCCTAAACACATGCAGGTATGAAAATGTAACCATTTTGGAATGGAATTCAAGTTCATGAAATGATAACGGTTGGTTAACTTTGAGAATCCTGATAAATTATACACTTACTATTTATCGTATACTGACATCAGTCGGAGGAACAAAGGAAACCTGGGAGCACTGGACAGCCGTTTCGTCCTAGTACGGGACTCCTCATCAGTGCGCACCCACGACCCCGCCAGGGATCGAACCCGCGACCTTCAGGTTCCGTGGCCAGCGAGTTGCCATTAAGCCGCTGGGTCAGAATCCAATGCTCCATATTTCCAACTTCTATTAGCTCACGATATAGCGCAACCGCCACCCAATGTCATCGTTGAGTAACTGTCCTCACGACCATCAGGCTTTGACTCCACCGTTCACCGCGGAACCTGAAGGTCGCGGGTTCGACCCCTGGCGGGGTCGTGGGTGCGCACTGCTGAGGAGTCCGTACTAGGACGAAACGGCTGTCTAGTGCTCCCAGGTTTCCTTTGTTCCTCCAACTGATGTCAGTCTACGATGGATAACAACCTGAAATATTTCCAAATCTCCACAGCTCCCTCAAAATTATAAAGTGTTAGTAATTTCATCCTATTGATGGTTAAAAATCAAAATCAAGCAGTATTAGGAATTTCCTACCTTTTCTTAAGCCATGTAAAAATAATCAATATGTGGCATTTTTGCCATTTTAACAACAAATCAATAATGAATTAGGTTATACCTTTCTTTCTTCCTTGTGTATGCGAAAGCTACATTGCTTAGCGTGCGTGCAGGCTCCTTTTTTTTACCATATAACATGTTTGAATTGGATGGTTGTATATGTGTTTGTGTATATGGATGTGATGCATAAACTGACGTGTGCAACTGTCCACTGGAATGAAATTCTTTGTAATTGTTCATGCATAGCATAGATCTTACATGTATTGATTGAAGTGTAGGATAAACAATCATTTTTGGCTTGCTATGGTCTCCTGACTGAATGAATTTATAGAACGAAATCACATTATTTACTTATGGACTTCTTTTCTATTTTATGAAACAATCCACAATCACCAAACTATTTGAGAGATTAGTTACCGTCCTGTCAAGGATTTCGGGTGGAACAAATTGTAAAGTTCTTGAAACAGAAAAAGTTAAAAATAGTACTCATTTATTTCTTTTTAGAAAAATCTCCAGTTTTAAATATATCTTCATGCATACGTAATCATTCTACAAGTTGTTGAGACAATAATTATGAATTAATTGATGTAGGGTTGCTAACCTACTGTTTGGATCAATAGGAACCCTGGGGAGTAATAATAAATTTCTTGAATCAACCCCACTAAAGGCTTAGATATTTAGGCATTAGCTACACTAATGGTGTTTGGACTTACCTAGTTGCATTGGTCGAAGTAGGTGGAACGGAATTGGAAGACTTCAAAGGCCACCCTAGGAACTGATGAGACAGCCAATTATATTCTTTCATTTTATGGAAAAGTACTTTGCCAGGCGAAATACCAAAGCCTGATTGGTCATTTCAGTTATTGCTAGGGTGGCCTCTAAAGTCGTTTGCATTTAAGAGGCGACTTTAAAGGCCACCATAGCAACAACTGAAATAACCAATTACGTATCTTCATTTTGGCTGGAAAGGCAGATTTTCACAAAATAGAGAAGTCTGAGTGGCTATTTTAGTTGCTGTTAGAGTGGTCTTTAAAGCCACTCAATTTAAGCTGATAAGCTACACCTTCATAGCCCGGTTAACTAACAGATAACAATAAACGACTGACCACAACTCATTACCGATTAATAGACTACCTACGACACACTACTGTTTTTCTTATTGGGTGAAATGTATCTACCACCATACTCATGACATCCTCCTGACAGTTAAAGATAGACACTTATCATAGAAATTTAGCAACACAATTACCAGTTTGCATGAAACTGGTAGACGTTATGTTATATGTTTCTTTATGAAGCAGAAATGCAATATCACTTAGACGTGGCAGTTACTTATTCAAGCAACCACTCGTATCTATTACTGGCTGACTACTTTGGTGGCATTTTCGTCACTTATGTAGCACAGTTGACCGTTATTGAGAATGTGTTGGTCCTATGGGAACCGTTTACATAAGGTTTTCCAAAAATAGGAGATTCAAAGATCTTAATTGACATAATTTAATGCATTCAAGTAGAGTGACACACATTGCATGTATACAAAACCAAGTCATTTTTAAAAATTATGTAAATGTAAAGTATTCAATACAATCATTTTATTGTGAAGGTATAGATATTTTCATTATGTGGTTTTTGTTCTAACCTGCTGATGAGGCATTTCCTCACCTTATTCCTATTATTTGACCTCAGCAAAAACTCAATTCAACATACACCAATTCTATATTGGGGACACACCGTTATATTTTTACTTCAAAGATAGACATTGAACAAAGTATGAGTGAAGTCAAGAAGTTTTTGGTTCATACAACTTGGTTAATATTTGTCTCATTGTTTGATGCCGACTAAAAATCATGCAGCCCAATTAAAAACGGAATATGATATTTTTGCAAGTTTTATATTATGACACCAAAATGCTTTGTATTTATGTCAACATTTAAAAGTGACACATGTAGATATATATTTAAAAATCTTACGAATACTTTACTCAAATATACATTTTTTGGATGTGAAATAGTAGAGAATATTTGAAGCTTAAAATCAGGAAAACATCTGTCTCAATTTCTGATGGTTTTAATATATAACCATCGAAAATTCATCATGTCATATTTAGTTAATCTATGCCTGCTTTATAATATGCAGTGTCATAGCCTGTTGACTAGGCACCCACAATACAGTATCAAAATATCAAGAAGCCGAATATCAGATATTTTACTTCATGTTTAAATGATGATTACTTAATAGAATTTCATATGGTTTATCTACAAATTTAGGTATTAATTAAAACCCCGAAAATATTCTGACAGAAATTGTTATTTTTCGTTTTATAGCTGGTCGAACCATGATATTTAAATTACTTTGAGGATATGATTATCAATTATTTATTACACCAGTTGAATTTAACCAGAAAGTTTGCTATATTCATGGTATTTAAAAAGCAGAGAAGGAATGGAAACAGACTAAACACATTATATGTAATAAAAAACATTATTTTTACTAGATTAACTGCTAAAGATTAGGTTATTTCTGTCGATAACTTTACATATCACCTTGAAATGGTATTACTTCGAACCAGTGCAATACTGTTTTCCAGTCATCCACTTGATTACTTATGAAGGTTTTTTTCTCTCTATAGTTACTGCACATTCCATCCACTTGTTAGCAAGCTTCTCTAATCAGAACTATAATTCCATAAATTTACATTTTCAGATGGGAACACATCAAAGATCTTACTTATGCTCGCAAAACGTTTACCATACAACTTTTGAAAAAAGGCAAATCCGTCCACTTTTTATTTGTAAGTTGTAAACTAGGAGTTTATATTCTCCTAGATTTTTAATATTATCTGTTGCTTATAAAATGATTTTTCATTAATTCAAAGAAATTACTCTACTTTATTATATGCTTGAATGTATATTGTGATCATATACTTATAACATATACTAATAAAGGAATAATAACCTCAAAAATGTTATGGGGTGTATTACGGCTTATACACACCCTTCCGTCATGTTTTCAACTTGTGAAATTTTCTCGGTAAGCTGTTTAGTGTTGGAAGTTTACTGGTCCACAATCAAATCCATGGAAAAATTTTATTTCAATAGTATACTTTCAGTGGATATTCCGAATATGTTGCATCACTGGATTTCTAACAGTATAACTGTGTATATATCGATAATTTTGAGATAATGTTCTGATTCGAGAAAGGAAATAACTTGCAACGGCAGCTTTGTATTGAAAAAATACCCGCCTAATATAAGTGCGACTGATCATCAGTAGTTTATAAAATATTATTGACCATTTAAATCTCTGTCACTGGAGATAATACAGATGCTGTTTACATGTTCATTGATTATTCACATACAGAAGATAGAATTGTGAATCCCTAGCTAACGCATTGATTTTGCTATTGAATAAGAGCTGAATTTCCAAGGAATAATTAAAGAGAACAGTATGGTTCACCAGCATTTACTGAGTTATAGTCAATTTATTTACCTGTGTTGAGAACAATATGAGCGCTATACTACTCATATATGATGAGATATCACTTTTGTAGAATGGTTAAAAATGATAATAAACTAATGGAGTTATTTGTTATCCAATATGCATAAAACATCAAATTAAACAGTGTGAAGTGTAATTTTTCTGTTCAAAATTTTTGAAGGCAATTGAAATTAGCTAAGAAAGAGTGAGTGATATGGCTCAAAGTGTGATTACCGTGGTGCATCCATGCTATACACTGATCTAAAGATAGAAAACCTGAGTATCACACATATTTGTTCCGCATTCACTCCATGCTCTGTTTTATTTTGTTGTTACAAATTTGTTTTCACTTAGTTCCTCTGTATTTATTTTCGCTGATATCGAATCGATATGGTGATGTGAAGTGAACCAAATTGAACTGATATGCAGCTGTGCCGGTTACATGTTGTTGAAGTCTGTTTGTAAATACTTTTATATTGATAATGATGATTCAGTTTAACGGAACAGCCTTGCATGTAGTATGACGCTGGTTTGTTAGTTATCTTAAGCTTACTTTCTCCTAAAACCTGAGTATATAGTTTATATAAGTCAGTAATTGAGATGAATATGGTATGGTTTGTCGCTTATCACCTAGTGGAGTGAAACATCCAACAGAATCCTTCGCCGTAATATATATATATATATATATATATATATATATATATATATAAATTAGTATGTAGACATTCATCAATAACTTCTTACGCTCGCTACTGAAGATCAGATGGCCAGGAAGAATAAGCAACAAGGTGCTCTGGGAACGAACCAACCAAGAACCTATCACGCAACAAATACGCAGGAGGAAGTGGAGATGGAGTGGGCATGCACTGAGAAGGCCGACTGAGGACATCATGCGTCAGGCCCTCGAGTGGAATCCCCAAGGGAAACGACGAGTTGGACGTCCGAGGGTGACATGGAGGAGATCGTGTGAGGAGGAAATGAGAGCTTCTGGGCTGCCGTGGAGCCAGGTTCAAAAGATTTCAGAGAACAGAGTTCACTGGAGACGTGCTACTGAAGCCCTATGTTCCACTAGGAACCCAAGGGACTAATAATAATAAAATAATAATATATCTATGATCTAAGAGCAACGAACTAATAATAATGGACAAGACTGAAACAATAGATGGATAACTTTTATTTGCTATCATTTTTACAGAAAAAGAGTGCATGGAGAATTTTCAGCATTCTAATAGGTGATTTATCTGTCTTTACCAAAATAAAGTGTAGTTTGTATTTTACTTTGTGAATATCCAACTGATACACATGTGTCCCTAATTAATACCATTGCTATTATCAATAAAATAATCAAAAGATCGTTAATAACTAGCAACTAAAAGGACTTGATATAATTTTTTGGCAATCTGCAAAGATAACAAGTGACCTGACAGTTCATGATGATTGCAGTCCGAGAAGACTTTTTATCATCCTATGATGGTATTAGGGATGAAATATGAAATGTAAACAAAGCAACGGCTTGTTTCATCACAAAAATAAGTTGATGATGAGTAAATTCGGAAGTGTTGATGTAGATGTAGGAAAACGTTTACCAGACTTTTTATGGAATTTAAATTAGCCATAATTTTATGGTTCGTTTTGTCCTCATTTAATGAACAGGTGAGATTCGCGGAGAAAATAATTTCTTCATTCTTCGTTTTTACTAATTAGAACAATAAACTTCTGTTATTTAAACAAAACTTTCTCACTTACTGTCGACAGAATTATCAATTCTGATGATTTAAGAAATTTTAAGCATACACACTTAAGCAGAGTAATTTCCCAGACATCTTTAACATGCATTAATCCTTTTAGGGGTGAATATTAGCACTTTAAATATAGAATTCCTTAGAATATCAGACGGTTACATTAAAATATTGAAAAATGATGCTTGATATATGTAGATGTAACAGATTATAAGTATTTAATTTTGATTTTTTCTATTTTACATATGCAGTTATTCCTATGTAAAAATTAATTTTTGAAATTGCACTGTAGGAAGATAATGAAAGTGCTCGATACTTATGGCAGTTTTGTATTCAAATGCATAGCAGTTACATTGATTACTGGACGCATGTAAAGTAAGTTTATGCTTATAAAATATTGACACTAGTTGTTAGTAGTTTAATTGATATCGTGAAATAACTTAATATTTTTAGCCTCTGCTTAATTTTTCCAAAACAAGTTGAAGTGCATTAGTCGGTAGCTTGGAATGACTGCAAATAGCACCAATTATTTCTATTAGGATAGCTGTGAATGCAATAAGTTTTAAGATAACTTGATTACAATATTTAGTAACATACACTAGGGCATCGGGCCGGAAACCCGGTGATCGCGGGTTCGAATCTGACCGCGGTCCAACTTTTCATTTCATCGTCCTTGTCATCCAGTATAAATACTAGTCTGCCAAACCACAGCTGTCTCAGATAGTCAAAAGGATAACATACAGTTGTTATTCTCAGAATCGTATCAAGGCGTTGAAGTGGTAATGCGTATTATATTATGATCAAAACATTATCTAGTCAATAATACTGAACCAGTAAGGAATATATCAGATGAACTAATCTAACGTGGAATTACAATCTACCACAGTGTCCAAGTTCTATGATTGCATATTGTCCTTGCCTACAAATCTTATCATATGCCACTGTGTACTTTTTATGAAGCATACTGTCATTTATGCAAACAAAATAAATGATATTTAAAAACTTATAATATGAATGCCAACGTTCTTTCCGAATTTTGAAATGGTGATCTTAATCGCTATTGGTTAATTACTAACCTCCCAAGAAGCGTTGTTAAAATATACATATAAAAAGAAATTTTAAAAACTTGAGAATTGCTTAACTACCAAATACAGGTTTCTGAGGTATAATTCTGATGGTGCCACCACACATTTGGTAACATAAGAAGTAGAGTTTATTCAGGTGAAAGTACTGTACAAGTGCAAATAAAAATCATGTCATTAAAGTTTATATTTGATTTTTAACAAACAAACAGATGTAAGTGCTTAATAAACCCTATCCACATCGAGTGTTAAGAAAGACTTAGTCGAATAATTTATTTTCTAAGTGCGACCATATAGGACAAACAGTAAACTTTATTTCTTTCTTGTGGATGTCCAAGTGATATTAATCAGATCTTTATAATTTTACGTAATATTTAGGAAGCATATGAAAGAAGAGATGTGCTGTACAACAGATAAACAACTTTCAGAGCTTATGCACTAAATTGCATTTCATGATCTCATCCCTCATTTAACTTTTCATTTCAGGTCAGTTCCTCCACAACCAGCAGTTCACATATCGGAACCTCCGTAAGTTATCTTCAATTAGTATTATTACTTGTATTACATGCGCATCCTGGATTCCACTGCTAGCCACTATCCATCGTTACTATATTTCTCAAATTATCTGGATGAAAATTTAAAAAGAATATATTAAAGGGTATAAACAATTAACGTAAACCTAAACATTATTCAACTATAGGTCACTAAGGTTAACATCTCCAACTAGCCAATATTTGACTTTATACTCATATAGGTTATCAAGAATACCTGTTTTCTCCCTTTTAGCTTCACTGTAATCATCTTTATTGCAACTAGATCGAAATGACTAGTGTTTTCGGATAGTAGTTACTTAAGGTGGTTCCCCTAATGTTCCATTCATTAGACCAGCCAATTACCATATGAGTTTTCACTGATTTGTGTTTTTTATTAAGAGTCTTATTAACAACTGAATTTGTCCCAATTTTTACAATGTCTCACAAACTAGTGACTTCCACGGAAGCCAAGTTCGCCTTTACTCCCATTACACCACTGCTTGTTATCATGGGGAAGACCGAGACTGACTTCGTTTATTTTCACTTCTAGCAGTGAGGGACTACGCTTCTTAACGCCTCTTCACCGAAAATAGATCAGAGATAGGATTCATTTTTGGATTCACATGGAGCTTCTTGACTTGATCTCTGAAAATATTTGTTTTGGATCGTGTTTGATGGCCTCCAACATTATCCCTGTATATCTTTCATCTGGTTGCAAGTTCTAACTTAGTGTCAGGAAATTATCAATGCCATCCGTTTCTATGGTTATGAACCGTATGTGACATATTCAGTCTAGATTTTAGGGCTAAAATGTCGTTTAACTGTGCCTCGTTTCAAAAGTATTTCACCGCAGTAGGCTAGGGTTAAATTTTTGGTTCTGAAAGTTGTGATGGTTCAATTATTTCATCCGATTCCTGTAAGTACAGAGTTAAGAACTTTTCAACCTTGCACAAATACTTGAATGTCACGTGATTTTTTTGTCTCATTCGGATCGGGCCTGGTTGCTATCAGAAATTTAGAAACTATGATACTTGTTCGGGCTTCTCTCTCCACTTTTTATGATATCATGCCTAAAGTTATCCACAAGTTTCTTCTCTTCTACATTTGACTTTATGTAATAAGTATCGGGTAGAATTATTTTTCCTAAAGCTATTAACCCCAGAAAACCAGTTGTGAGCCATCATTAAGTACCAATATTTTGGGGACATCAAAGTTGCCAAAGTAACCAACGAACTTTGTAATTGTGGTTTCTGCTGCTATTTTTAGCATTTAATCAACTTATGACCACTTTAAATGAATATTAATAACGATGAGATACATCTGCCTTCTTATAGATCCTGTCAAATGTTCATTTAGTCTCTGTCATGGCGATTCCATCGTTGATAAAGGATATGGTAAACACTGAGATATATTTTTCGCTGTTTGTATGCAATCGAAACACGCTGGACGCTTGCAATCAATATCTTAATTCACTGAATACCAGTTATAATAGCTGCATGCTAATGATTTCATTCTTTGATGATTCTTTGATGCCAAGATGACCGTCATGAAACAAATCTTGCATCTAAAAGTGCAAAGTTCTGAACACTACAACTCTTCCTATAAACATGACGCAAGAATCGACAACTGTGAATGCCTGAGTGCAATGATAATGCTATTAAAACTCTCTAGTAAAGTGAGAAGCTGCCACTTCATTCCGCAGAAATTACTAACGATACAGAAAGTTGCATTTTCTTCTGTGGCCTTTTTGATATCTTTGAAAGTCACTGGCGATCGTGTACTTTATACTTTGGTACTTGGAACAGTTCGGTATCACAGTCACCTCCTTAGGAGTAGGTTGCGAACAAGATAACTCTTTTGACTGACCAAAATTATCAGAACACCGGTAGCTTAAGTAAAAGTCGTAACAAGATCGTGTGGTAGACCACCTTTGCAAAGGACTGTTTTACTTTGTAAATCTGAACTCCTTTCTCGGCACCCAAAATTACTTTGCTGGCTTATAGTTAGTCAATAACATCAACTATCTTCCGCAAATAATTTAGTAAAGCTTCATTAAAGAAAGGGCTGCAGTTGTGATTTGACTACTGTTCCTATCACCTATAGTTATCCATCAAGTTTCATGTGTAATGACTTTCTAACAGATCGCTAAAGTAAAATGTATTACTGCTCCAATACCGCAATTTGAAGCACTGACGCCAACAGTAATCGGTAGTGGTAGATAGTAATTAGTGAGATGCATACTTAAAGTCATTAAAGCCATAATTATGCTGAATGCGCCCAAATTTATTTCCAATTTTGTTTTTTTGCATTCTTTATTAGTTCTCTATGAGATCCTGTCCTTTTTAACTTAAAAAATTCAAATAAAGTGCAACAATAAAATTCCACAGAAGGGAATCAGCGTCTGGAAGAAAATATAACTTCATAAAAATAAGTGGAAAGAGGTTTCTTTTTCAGCCTATTACTGTTTCAGGTACAACATTTACAAGCAAGCAAACATCGTATCGAATGGCAGACTTCATAATTCATCCAACGTTTCAGGCCACCAGTAGTGCAGCAGGTGGTTAGCTGTATAATGCTGGTGAATTTTACTGTGATACTGTTCATGGTAGCGTTACACCCAATGAAATATTGAATCTTATAGACTAACTACTCATAAGTCATCTAAGGGTTAGAAGAGAAAGGTAAACTCAGGTTTTTAGACAGATCATCAAACTCTGTCTGCACTCAAGCGCTAAATGTGAAAATAAAGTAACCCTAAGTTCACTTGAACCCGACAGATATGTTGCAACTACGACATCCCGATATTTTCACATAAAATAATCCTGTTTCTTAGTTCCGAATGCCAGTACCATATGTGGTTATATCAATTGTCCAGTAAACAATCGAAAACCGTTGTATATCATTCGGTGAGTTTTATGTCATAGGAAGCTATAATACTAGTTGTTTAAACAGCTAAGAGCACTATGCGTTTCTCTGCAGGTTTCTCTGCAGGAGCAGCTCTAGAACATCACCGGTTTCCACTACTAGAGCCCAAGAATCTCTTGACTACATTAAGTGGTTATATGTTTTTCGCCAAGTGGAATCTGTCAGAAGCATAATGACAAGTTTCAGTAACAGTGAAGTAAAAGGAGCTCTTAACCATCAGCACCCACAAATGGCTATTTTGACATAACCTCCTTCACTTTAGTCCAAAAATAGACCTAGTTATATTGAAACAAATTATGAATACAACGCCTGACGTTATCCTTAACCTGGCTACATATTTCGATGGATTAGTCATGATGGGGTACAAAGATTTGATTCTCAAACTTCGTTTTAGAATGCATAGCATTCTAGAAGCTTTGGTGCCAGATAAGTAAATATGAGTTCTCCACAAGACAAGTAACCAACATTGATTTTTTCCTGAACCGAATATGGTAGTGCTCAGACTTGCTACTTTTAGGGCGTTAAATACTATGCTATACCCAATGGCTGCCTCTACATTACTGTCCCTTTAAAGATGAGTGAAAAACTGGAGAGTATTTTATCCCTGACTGCTATCATCTTTATATCCTATTCAATGAGTTGCTAGCAAAATATGCAAGTGGAATTGATCATATGGTCTTCAAGAAGCATTTCAAAATATCAAAACAGCATTTCATTGAATTCAGATGAACTGCTATGAGAAGATCAATGTTTTACCTGTCTTTTTTTAATACAGTGGCTATGTGGCTTTCATACTGAGTTCATACGGATGATCTCAAAAATCAAGATTTTGCCTCTCTGCTTGTCAGAAACTGTGACCAACTGCAAGTGGATATCACTAAGAAAATTAAATTGGTGATGATCACTCCTCTTCGTCGAATTTAACTTGACTGACCTTTCGCTTAGACTGACGCCTAGAATGACGTCAAAAGCTCCATCATGAAAAGCTTAAGCTCATAGTACTCCAAACTATTACAGCATTCACGACATGAGCTGAAAAAATATGTCATAAAATAAATCATAAAATCACATTGACTAATAATCTATACATGCTAATACTGAAAATCAGAGTGAACTACTTAAAAACATTGCATTTAGTTTAAATAACAGGTTTATGACTCGGTCTAAATAAATTTTACTGAAAATGTTAATTACAGTGGTTGTAACATCCTGTATTCATACCGTTATGGTCAGAGAAGGCCACATGATGCCTGGTATTTTTAACACTGAAAGTGCATCACAAAGAGCGCTTTCTTTCAGTTAACTTGTTCAATGACGAGCGTGTATGTGAGTAATTTTATTCAAAAAAGTCTGTTGTGGCTGCTAAATGAAACTAGTTACCCTCTGGTTTTCAAAGCCAAGCTGAAATCTTCAGCGAACTCATATAACTTCTACAAACATCAAATCAGCAATGAGTTGTGGGATACGCTTTCATTAGGCAAACTGTTTTACTCCATGAAAACACCTATTTTTTTGAAAATTCGCTTACTAACGAAATAGTTAGTACTTTCACTTTCACTTCAGCCTTGAACAATAGTTTTACTTTTTATATTCTAGAGATATATTACGAGGTACAGAATTACGATGTACTCATTCTGGTTCACCGGTAAGCAATATAGTGATAAGTAAAATTATTGGACCGGTAAATTGTTCTTATCCTTTAAATCAGTGTTGTTTATATCTACCACTAAATGATAGTTTTAACGGTAATGTTACACCTTTTTAACTATACCATATCAACGGCTCATATTTTTATGAATTGCTTATTCCACAATCTTTGTTTCTATCAGAATTTGTGATAAACACCATGAACAATAAACTTCATGAATTTTTCGATGATACATCTGCCATCAGTCTGTCTGGTTTGCCTTTAACAATAATAACACAATTTACTTCATTGCTATACATCATGATATGTCACAATAGAGCATTTTCTACATGACGCTAAAAACGTAAAGAGAAGGTCTGATTCGTATTAATAAATTTGTCTGAATTCCGTGAAACCACCAAGTTAGAAAACGTGTGCTTTACCTTAACTTGTTATTTATCCCCATAGTGACAAATAAATGAGTGGTTTGGTGAAAATTTAAAGGAAGTGAAAAAGGCCTGAATAAAACATGAATCAAAGATAGTTAAGTTTGATGGGTTTTGAGGATAACACATGCTGACTTGTAATGTTTTATCAAAGTGCCACAGTTACTGCTACCTTCCAAAACTATTTAAAGGTTACCATTCCAAATTAATGGTTAGAATATCACTAATAAACTAGAAGTTCAAATAGCTTTTCTTATTCCAAGTCATATAAATCAACCATTATTTTTAGAATGTTTATAGAATAAACCTTTAATTTGTTGTATTCATCTTGGTGACTAACAGTGGAATGGAGGACCTGCGTTTCGTCCCATTTGAAAATCGTCAGCTGGATGTACCTGCACCCGAATGAATAATGCTCTGCCTACTGAGAATTGAACTCAATGCCCATTGATTCAAACGCCAGAGCGTTATCTACCAGGCCACTGAAGCACGAGAGTCACGTCTTGTGCAACGGGTATCGATTTTCTTAAATTGTAATTTTCCGTTGCTACACTGGGTCGAATTACTCAAAATCTTCTTTCTCAGGATATTGCAGAACTGTGGAATTAATTTCTCGGAAGTGAGGCAGAATGTTCCTGCTGGGTACAGAAGGTCACGATTTCTTCTGTCCATATTATTATTACTATCGCTTGGTGCTGATGCTATATATTCTTATACCCTTTTTAAGGTCTTCTACCGCAACAGAGGTTTTGCAAGTCTCTAGAATTCTGTTTTTAAAAGGAAAGCTGGTTTTTCCTAACTCTTTTTAAAGGTTATCAATTAAATGCAATAATTTACTCTAATGATAGCTTTAATCATTTTAATTTTTAAATATTTATCTATATCATTAATAAGGGATGAAATTCACTCTATTTTTTCGTGGTTTTAGGTATTAAACGGATTTGTTACGGAATTACCTACTTCTCAGCAAACAAGTAATTTACCTCACTACTATTTATATCAAATTATTATCATTATTATTTTTCCCTTGGGTTCCTGGTCGGACATAAGGCTTCAGTAGCACGCCATTTATACTGAATAATGAATTTCTTTTATGGTTTTCATAAAGCGAACATTTTTGTTTTATTCCAAGAAAATTATACTACCAATACAAAGATGTTTTTACAGAATTTTCGGTGATTTGATGATTAAGAGTAGGCAGTCATATATTTTTTTCAAAGCACTGTTAGTGCATACAGAAATCAATAAATGAGAACCATTATAGTAACCCTCTATGTTTTAGGAAAGGTAGGTAAGTTCTTATATATAGCTGGGTGGCTGCACAAACGGGTGTAGCAGATACATGGATTGTCCATATCACTTCACCCCAATATTCACAGGCTATAATAGCTTAATCTGAACTTGGAAAAAGCCCAGGACGATCATGATCAGTAATTGCTCAAACTTATAAGACGTGCCGCTACTGGTTTGGAAGGTTTAAGATTTCTGATTCGGCTACAATCCCTCGGTGTCAACCGAAAAATCCTGAGTACCTTTCATTACTGATGTATCACAGTGTGTGATATTTAATAAATACACCTTATATAGAGTTGCCGAATTTCGTTTATTTATTTCGCTTCCCTCCTTTTTACTTTACAACTTCTGTATTTGCTAATTTCTTGCTTTTTTTGTTGAGAATATTGACAACCTAAGATGATGTATTCCCGTGTGAATTTTTTCATTTCGTTTCAATTTTGAAAGTTATCTTCATCAATTAGCAACTTTTTGTGAACCAAATTTAGCGAATCGATGCTGAATAGCTTCTTATTTCAGAACAATACAAAAGTCAGCGAAAGTGATTGATATGCAATCCTTTTACAATTCGCTAGAGATACAATCAATTTTCTAGGCTTTCAAATAATTTTTGTGGTCTTTCAATGAAGTCTGTCCTTGAAAATGACTAACTGTTTTTATCAACCTTTTGAATACAGAACACATTAGTGGTCTATGTATCAGAAAACCAGTTAAAAGGCTGTCATCTACAAGAATATTGATGTTTTGTGCGATAAATGGTGTTTTTGAAATGACCATTCTTTTATCAAAAAGTACACTAGGTCAGAAAAATTAGCTTAGGGCTTTATAAACAAATGGGCATTGAAATCTAAAATATTCATTAACAGTCTTGTAAGGCATTCGTGATTTGTACTACTGAGTTTTAAATTTGAATACGAAGCTGCTGAATACTGATTGCATCACTTTAATAACGCCATCTTCCCAATGTTGTTAGAGCAAAGACTTGAGAATTTACTTTTATATGCAAGATTTCGACTATAATATCATTCATCAACTTGTCACAAAATGTTTGTTATTTCTATGTCTATTATTAGGGTCACATCTTGAGCACATCTCAATTTCTAGAAATTAGGTTACTCTCTTAAAACGACATTCATCTTTCCGATAAAATCCGTTTTTTTAGGAACGCTACACAGTTGTCGAATTATAACAAGATCTTGATTCTATTTCAACAGCTTGAGATATAATCAGGATTTTGTTATAGCCTAACCAGAGGAGCTTAACTGTGTAGTTTTCCTAAACAAAATGAATTTAATCGAAAATATGAATGCCATTTTGAGAGAGCAACCTAAGTTCCAGAAATTGCAAGGTGCTCAAAATATTACCTTGATCATATATATGGAAATGACTAAATCATTGAAGCTATTAATAGTAAAAAATTACCTTAAATGAGGTACGAGAAAAGATGAAAATTAGATCATTTGGACTAACTGAAACTGGGAAAGTTGTCTTACCAGTGAGATTGATTTTGTAAATGTTCAGTTCACCATACTACTCTGTAACAAAATGACTTATCCAATAACAAGAAGAGACAAACCGTGCAATCATAGCTTCGAAGATACTATCAAATTAGTTGATATAGATTACATTCGTCCGAACTCGTGATTTGTTGCATATTTCAGAATATCTATTCGTTTCAATGCATTTTCAGAAGAAGTACAACGAGACACTTGGAGCGGAAAGTAAACTTTCTGTCATAGTATCGTTCCAATATGCCAGGAGAAACATCGTTAGGTGTCTGTTTGAAAGGATGATGAAAACTCTCTTTGGTTCTACGATCGAAAAAAGGCTACGAACTTAATGTACATATCGAGACAGGATAAAGCTCTTGAAAACTTCATTATGAAGAATGTGATAAGAAAGACAGAAGGAAAAGTCATCTCCACCTGTAGTGACTAGCAAATACTGACATTGAATTTGAGGGCGGTAATCTACCCGATTTTATTCGAAGCAGACTTCGACGTGCAAAGAAGGTGTTTATCCAAACCATTGTGAGAGTGTCTTGCATTAGCAGATTAACCTTGCCACAAGATTTTGATGACAGGATTTCTCATTTTCCTGTGTCAGCGTGGAGTAATAATCTAATTGGTTCTGTGGAGTTAACTATTTCAGATGTACCATGAAAACCCTTTCACAAAGTTGTTAATACTTCCTTCATTTATTTTTAGGCTTTGGTTTACAAATGCCTCAGTGTTACTATAATATAACTCCTGTCATATAGCTTCCCAAAATCCATAAGCTAATGAATTTATTTTTAAGAACTGTCAAAAAAGAAACCACGGAGATTTAAATATGTAGTAAGTCCGTTAGAAAGTATACCTAGTATATACCGCTAAGATATGCCTAATTAGTTTAAAAGGTAACTTCTATCGACACATTTTTCAAGTCCCGCACTTGTATGAGCGTATTATATCAGCGTTGTATTTGATTGGATATAAATACACAAGATTAAAAGGATGTTTCCTGGCAAACTATGTTTATGTACACTTTTAAAGTTTGTCTGATCATTGATATTACACTACATAACATACTTCAGCTCTTCCTCTGATAATTTCATAGGTCAACAATGTAGTAAATATTCAATCGAACCATCCAAAGTTGAAACACAAGCCAATTCTGCCAATAACTCGGATCAACAGCAACCAGTTGCAGTGATCAACCCATGCAACCTAATAAATCAATTCCGAATTGAATCAAATTCTACCGCACTGAATAGTGATAGCAGAACATTCCGGATTAATCCGTCCCCAAGGAGACCTAGTGAGGCTACATGCGTTATATCATGTAACTCGAACTCTGTTCAGAACAATTTCATGAATAAAATGACAGCTGCGAACACTGATATATCTAACGGGTTCAAAGATCAACATTTGGACAGCGAATCTGGGACACTTGTTGGTCACTGGAGTCTCAGAAGTGGTGCCGGTACATTGGATTCCCAACTATTGAACAAAGGTTGTGTAACGTGTCTTCCTGGACGTGAATGCTTGAAGCCAACTGGTTGGTTTCACTCAAAAAGTGGTGGTGTAAATGCAGCGTCCACATTAAATGAGTTAAAAACTAACTATGCCGAACCTCTGTCTTCTACACCTTTGACGATGAAGGAAACTCCCAAGATACATGAAGATATTCCCACACCATCCCATACGCAGCAACAGTTGAATGAATTAAATCAAGAGCCTAAAACTGGTAGGAGTCATAGACCACATAAGCATCGTCAAACAAAACGTCATCATCCAGAACAAGAAAAGCCCGGAGTTTCTCACGTTCCTGATGTGAAAGATGATTTTATTCGAAAAGAACAAACAAACTGCTGTGAATCCTTGACTCCTCTTCAAATATCAGTAGTAGGTACCGGTTTAGGTAAAAAAGAAGTATGCCCCGAACAATCATCCCCTTCATCATTAGCATCCTCAGATAGCTCATCCGAACACGTATTAGTTTCTCCAAGAGCTTCATTTTCTTCTTCTTCTTCGAGCTGTACAGCAAGCATTAAAAAAATTGACCTCGTTCATGCCACACAACATCAATCTTGCAGTTCATCTACTTCAAGTAGTTCAAGCAATTCAATAACGCAAGCTGATTTTGAAGCAAGTGAAGCCAGAAAAACGTCATTTGGTTTTGCAGCTTCCCTATGTACATCTTCTCATAACGTTACTTTTAAAGGCTCATCAAAATCAAATACACGTGGAATTAATTCCGGCTCGTCTACATTTACAGCTGGTCGAAAGTTGTGGAATGAACTAATTCAGTCAAATAACGGAGGTATTATACCGCTAATTAGTGGGTTAGGTCAGCGCCATTATCGACCTCAATCGAAAATGAAGTAAGTTGTCGAATGTCTTTTATTTCGTATACTTTTGCCTGCTTTCCTCATTCATTTTCCACTTACTTAATCTTTACTTGCTGCTGTTAATTACGACAGCTTGAAACCATGCACCACTGTGTCTGATTCACTACTGATCTATCTCTCCATCTATGTATAAAATATCTTATCTGATGTTAGTACTATATCCTTGCCTACTAACTCACACTATTTTCAACCTAAGTAATTTTTTTCCAGAAATCACAATGTTATTCTATACTAACTAGCTTCAATTTTGTCATTAAATTTTCGTTTTAATATGTGTTCGTAAATTATTGTAAATCATGATGACTCATACACACACCTTCTGTCGAATGACCAGCTGGTCGTAAAATCGGTTTTGGAGTGGAACCACACATGTTGTGCATGTCCAAATGTATTTCAGAACATATATCCCTGTTTCGAAAGCATTACATTGACTGGAAGTGACTTGATTTTGGTTGGCGAAACATCTTACTAAACCTCGAGGAGAACAAGATTATAAAACTTATGACTTACAATAACAAAGTGTATTCTAACTTAATCTGAGTGTTTCGAAAATCAAAACAAGATCTGTATGAACACCTCGCTGCCTCTGCCACACCTTTTTCAGCAGAATATTCTGATTTTTATTAAAGAATTATATATATATATATATATATATGATAGTCATTATATATTCATTAGATCATTTTCATTTGTCACCGAAACTGTTTAACGTTCAAAGTATGCTTATCCGCATATGCTACTGAATATATAAGTATGAAAATATGAGAAGACATTTTTACTGGTTACCAAAAATTCAGTGATATTTGTTCTTAAATTCTAAAAAGTGATGATTAATATTTTGTCGGTTGGATCCTTCTAAATAGGCAATCATTCTATTCCTTCCTTTCTGTTTACTACAACTGATGTCGTTAAAATATGCTGGGATTCTGAGGTAAATGGAAAACGTTTTTAGTATATCACCAATGTCAAGGACAATTTTGTGTAGTGGAGAATATTTGTAGCCCAGGTGACCAGTCTTGTTTTCTATATCATCTTTTTTAATGATGACAAAAGTGTCGTACACATAGCAAATCCAGAATTTTGGTTTGATCACAGGTAGGATGATGGCTTCCAGTCTCTGCATAACTGCTTCTGCAATTAGTCCGGATATTGGTGATCCTTCGATGTCACAGCATTATACACATCCATGGAATGTCAACTGGCCAAGGAAACTATGTCCCTTCTGCTCAATGAAGACACAAGCCTTAGAGAACGCACAAAACCTAAATGTTCAAGTCTGATGGAACTCATAGACCTTTGCCTGACAACATACTTCTAATTCAACAACAAGATATACAAACAGATGAAAGGAACTCCAATGGGATCACTGATATCCGGACTAATTGCAGATGCAGTTATGCAGAGACTGGAAGCCATCATCCTACCTGTGATCAAACCAAATTCTGGATTTGCTATGTGGACGACACTTTTGTCATCATTTAAAAGGATGATTTAGAAAACAACCACAGTTTGATGAACAACGTTTTCAATGACATCAAATTCACAATGGAGGAAGAGTCAAACAACCAACTACCATTCCTGGATGTTCTAGTCAGTAGAACAAATGCCGGAAAGTTGGAAACCTAAGTGTAGAGGAAGCCAACACACACTGACCAAGTCCTCAACTACAATAGCAACAACCAAACAACTCACAAGATCAGTTGCATGCAGACTCTATTCAGGAGAGCGAGAACACACTGCAGTACAGCAACTTCACGGAGAAATGAAGAAAATTACTTGATGTCTGTCCTAAAGAAGAACGGCTACCCACGAAACTTTATCAGGAGATGCCCATCCCGTACATCATCAACTACAAAGTCATCAACAGAAATCAATAAACACATCATATTACCATACATAAAGAATATATCAGAAATCATGACAAGATTACTGAAACCACTTGGAATTGGTTTGGCTAATAAACCAACAAATTCCCTCCAAACACTATTATGCAGATCAAAGGATGCAACAAGCAAAGAAGACAAACCCAATATCATTTACAAAATCAACTGCAATAGCTGTAGTCAGCACTACATTGGACAAAGCGGCCGCCCTCTTCGCCTTCGTCTACATGAACACCAACTGGTCATTGAACGTCACAACATTTTACCACTCATTCCAATGCATGTGGATAATTATGGAGATGAATTCAATTTCCACAATGTAGAAATTTTGGACAGAGGAAACACAAAAAATATCAGAGAATCCCTGGAAGCTTGGCATTCAGGTCAGTCAGCAATCAACAGATGTATAGACACGGACCCAATCTATCAACCAATAAGAAAGATGATAAACGACAGAAAGGTCAGAGGTCAAACAGAAGGACAGCCAACAGGAAAATCTATACAGTCAATGACACAACAATCAAAGGAAACGACTAATCACAGACCACTTCGTCACGGCAAGCTACTAAATCACTCACAAAGAGATATTGACAGCTCAGTTCATACTGAAGTTAGTGCTGATGATGTCGTCTAGAAGGATGATGAAAGCTTGACGATCAAACAAGCCAGCTCAGAGAACACCATGCAACCAAGACCATTTTGTGCCCACTACCGGTAGCATACGTCGGTATTACTGAACGTTTTACTAAGCTTTTTAACCTTAATTCATTCTTTGGTTAGGGTTCGCCGCATAACTGATGTTCATTCACTTTTATTTTCAGTGACAATGTGACGTCGAGTTCAAGTATCGCAGAAAACTTTCATGTTCTGCACTTTTAATGATGACAAAAGTATCGTTTACCTATCGATACCATAGTTTAGGTTGACACTGAAAACTGTCCATGACTAGAGATGCTGGTGAACCCACTACACATCCCTCTATTTGATGGCATAATTTATCTCTTAACTTATAGTATGTTGGTTTAGATCTAACCTTAACGATCCTTCAATATCTTATGTTGACAGTGTATTTTCCAATCCGGTATAGTATAGTTTATTGGATGACATTTCGAGCAGAATTTGTTCTTATTAACATCAAAATTATCATATGACTTTCAAGCTTCCTGGTTATTGTCAAGCAGTTTTCATTTGTTTATTTTATTTTTTGTGTGATTAAAATAAATGAATGAAAATCTGTTTGATCATGTATAGGAAGCTTGAAAGTCGTATGATAGTTTTAATGTGAGTATAAGCAATAAATTCTGTTCGAAATGTGATCCAGTAAACAATACTATATTGCCGTGTTCTACATCAAATAAACCATCTAATAGGGAATTATACTCTACCACAGTGCCAAAGTTTCACTACTACATTTCTACCTATAGTTTATAGTGGTTTATTTGACAGAAGCGTTTAACTGTTGCTTGCGAAAAAGTTTTGCAATAACTTCAGAGATAAAAACATTTCAAGTGGAAAATAAAAACGTAATCTCTAGTGAAGACTGGTATTATGATCAACAAATTGAGACTTTAAGATAATCTTGCAAACTTAATGTACTATTGAATAACCTGGGAAATCTGTTGACATTTCTTGCTTATATTCTATAAGTCGTGCAGCGAGGCAATTTATCCAACTTATTACCGAATATCTACTTTCGTATCTAAGGAAAGGACATGTGAAATTCGTGTAAAACTATTTTTTTGCATAAGAAATGCAAGTTGTCACACAGTGGAGAGAATTAAATAAGTCAAGGTGATTTATAGGATTCCTCTTAACTTCTCCGCTGGAGTATGAACCTATTGTACACACAAAGCTTGAGCTATAGGAATTCGGATAAATGATACTAGCCTCTGTGCGGACTTCCACTATACTATAACCAGGAAAAGCATAATTTATGGCCTTGTGTCTATAGTCCTTAAAACCTCCTTCTCCTTTTTATTGTCGTATACTTTCACCACTTTCATACCACTACTGTATTTGTACCTAGATCATGTATATTCACTAACTTCGTCCTTAGATATTACTCAACCTTATTGTTCTTTCTGAATGCTGACCTATTTTAATCCCTTAAACGCTTATTTGCATTACCATACCACTCTCCACATACTTTTCACCACTTACATTGTGGCTATTTTATTCTAAACTACATTATCCGCATCTTTGTCATTAATGACTAACAAACCACGATGATTGGTTTACATTCTGTATGTCTACGTAAAGCTATGTATATAACAATAGGGTCTAAACTACTCTAATAAACAACGACATTGTTCACTTACACCACTTCTTGTTCACCCACGTAGAAAAACACCAATAAGTTAGAAGACTTTCAGTATGAAATGCACTCCGTCACTTGCTGTTCAGCATTTGATAGTAAATATGTTCTACGTTAAAATGATCTCTCCTAAAATGAACAACTTCTATTCTTTTTCAGGCGATATCAAGCCGCAGTTATAGCAGAAGCGAATGGTCATAAGTGTGAAAACGAAAATATGACTTCCAAAGATTTACAAAATGTTCTTACTTCCAAAGAAACTATTGATAACTCTCCATGTCACTTTCATAAATCAACTACACATTTAAGTTCATCGAATAATCCACTTCACGAATTTCAACGATGGCTTACATCAGCTAAAAATCGCATTCCATTTGGATGGACAAATAATGTTAATAATCGAGGAACGACAATGCATATTTCTTCACCACTTCCTCATCAAACATCTGAAAATGTAAGTTATTTATTACCAATAGCTTATCTTTTGTGTAAACTCCCATTGGAAAGGTTTTTTAATGCCATTATTTGTCCGGATGAATTTTACATGACAAAAGTATCCAACGGTAAAACTATGTTTTGAGAACCTTGTGAATCGCAATCGGAAATGTGATGATATTTCAACCTTTCTTCGATGCATTACGATTTCTGGCAACTCACATTGCAAAACCTCTTGTTAATGTTAAAATAAATCACAACGGCTTTATCATAATCACGCAAACAACTTTAAACCTTCCCAGCCGAAACCACATGCGGAGCTCGAAAGTATTTCACATTAGGCGAAACGAGACTGTTGAAGTGAAAGATGTGATTACACCAAAAATATAAATATCCTCATTCTAAGAATACAGAAGGTAGAGCTGTACAAGAATTATAAGTACGTTATACATTTGTTTCTAACCTATGACAACTAGCCAAGTAAAATGTTGTATAAATAAAACGAGAAAGACGCTTTGCTCAAAGTAGCGAGGGTTACTCTTATCTTGCAGTTTCTCACCACCTGGTTACAGTGCAAAATAATTTTAACGTCAATTTACATAAAATGTTTGCCTACTTGAATCCATTTGATAGGAAGTTATCGTCTTGCAGAAAAGATTACATTCATATGACGTAGCTGAAAAACATGAATTGAGTGAAAAGTATACAGGAACGGATAGTAAGTTAGACGTTATATGTAGTTCATGTTTATATATCACAGCATGTTTGAAATAAAATCATTCGGACGTTTCTCATAGACGTCTGGTCCCAGCTTCTTCAGGGAAATAGTTGAAATTAAGATATCAAAGATATATAGGTGAATTCAAAGATGTATACCTAATCTCCTTGTCCAATCCTGTTTGTACAACTGTTGTTTTGTAAACTACATCTACTTATCGTTCATTGCAAAATTGTATGTCTCTCGTTGTTTGACATGTTTGTGCCGCTATTCATATTCTCTTCGATTGGAAATACGCGGAAAATACCAAGTGACATTATAGTCCCCCGGTAACTTATTTGTAATTAAAATAGGGCAAATGAGGTGGATGTATGTGTCACTTCTATTGGTATGTAAAGGGGAACTAGTATTGAAAAATTTTGATTGTTCTGTCAATATTCATGTTCATGTAACCACTTGACGTTTGCATATTTCTAAGTGTGAAATATTGAATTCAAATGTAGAGCTTGATCGTAAATAACGAAAATATGTTTTGTTCAAATTCTCATTTATAAGGTGGGACTATTTCGGATACTGGTTTGGTTAAGAAAGAGTATTGGGACATTACGCGTGCTACCCTAATGGTATTCTGAATCTATCACAATAGGTATCCCTCAAAGGAAATACTCAGTGTTGCTTGTCAATGATCAAAGTGTGCAAATATTTCGCACCAGACTACTCTTAATACACCATCAACACGACCAATTTGCTGATATTCCCTCGCAGATGGTTTAACAGGGTAAAGAGAATAACGTTGTTGAAGTTTCTTGAAAAAAAATTCTAAATTTCTGGTGAACTTATTGAAATTGAGCAGTGGCTTCTGCAGTAGGACGTATATATACATGACTTCCTCAAAGTAAGTGAAGGACGGGACAATTAGAACCATATTATGACCACGTTTTTCGTATTTGTGATCATTCAGTTTGACTTTAGGAAGTAAACAACGACTTAATATTATCATGTATTGATGCATGCAGCTGACTAGTCCTAAATAGGACTAAACATGCATCCTGAATTATGTTGATAGCTACTGCCAAGCAGACTTACTTAGTACCTTCAACAATGCTGTGGTCATTGCTGACGATGAAAAGTCATATCCATTTCTTCTTCAATAAAAATAATATTTACATTTATTATTTTAGTACTTGTATTTCCCAATGAATGTAAAAGGAAATAAACTTGTTATAGTTATAATTATAACTTTGATAAAGCTATTTGCACTAAATAGCAAAAAAGTCAGTTGAAACTGAATTGATTTTGTTTTACATTCATTATTAAATACAAACACCAAGATAATGAATACCATTCAAGCAGTGCCCAATTTTTTTCAAACCATTAAACCCTAACTTGGTTTAGATATCTATAGATTAATATTTTCATCATTTCAACTGTTTTTATTGTTGTCGATCTCAGGTGACAAAATCAGAAAATGAACATAGCTTGGACATCATGTTTAATTCAGTGTCACCAACGGCTCCTCAAAACCTAAACAATCAGTCTAAATCACATATTGGACGCCTTGAAAGATCTTCTAGTGAATCGTATTCACGCTCATTTGGTTCAAACTTAAACAGTTCTAGAGGTGTTGTGCTAGTTAATCTAGAACATCCTAGGATGGATGATGCAAACTCACAAAAACTGAGACCATTTGCAGTTGATGCCAAAAATCCAGTTGCCAATGAATCAAAAATTCTCACACCAACCATTCACTTACTACCGCCTAGTCCTACACGATCACAATTCAAAATAAATGATAATAAACAAGTGAATGTAGAAAAAAGTGATTCACACGATGTTAATTTACCATCACCAATATATTCTAAATTTAAAGCTAATTTTAGAGATTTAAAGAGTGAAGCACAGCATCTGAAGTTGAATACTGTTTATAATAAATCTGACAGAAATGAAGTTGACTTTATTTCTGAACCCAAAGAAGGTATTTTAACAAATTTACAGTCAAAGAATTTTACCAGGCCATTGAATCAAATGCCTTTACAGCAACAAGAAAATTTTCGTGCTACTTCCTCTTCTTCATGGAGATTATTTCCATGTCCACTTACGCTAAATGAAGCTAATCGCTTAGCTGTCACACCACCAAGAAAGTTTATTAATTCTCCGTCGGAAAATTATTGTTCATCACTTACACAATGTCATTCCGGTAGACCTGTTTATGGTGGGTCGGAGTATCAGAAGTCAGACTTTGATAATCACACACGTATCAACCCAATTTGTCACATACAACAACTGCCGAAGAAGCTATTTGCAAAGAAGATGAAAGGCTTAAAAATATAAAGCATACTCTGAGTGAAAACATACGTCCAAGGCACTTTTCGACAACACCAAGCACACCTGTTAGTCAGCCTAACTTTATATGGGAGAGTAACTTTCAGCAATCGTATGAGCATAAAAACTCTCCACAGATATCTAATTCTTTAACTGAACAGGATGAATGTGAGGATACCAAACAAGCGAATTCGGCTTTCAACTCTACAAATGATAACAAAGCATCCAATAGCTCATCTAACAATATGTGGTCCTTCTCTAACCAGTCTAGAAACAAATCTATTGTCGGGGCAGAAAATTACACACCTGAAATTATGGAAAACAGTCAAGAGCTGGAAAATAAACCGCTAAGTAACACTTTGCTGACTACATCTAGCTCTTCAGATCAATGTAGCATACCTCGACCATCATCTGGCACAATGCACCTACTTACCAACTCAGATATTCATCAACTACTGAGTTTGACTAACTTGAGAGTAAGTCATCGATAGGAAATAATGCACAAGATTTTGAATTATTCTCTCACTTTAAAATGCCATGTGATTACACTGGAAAATATGAAATGCAATTTTTTTAGATGAGTTTGAAGTAAAGTAGGGTTACCTCTCTATACTGACTAAAAGTGTATTCAGTTCCAACATTACAGACAGCAACATTAGAATGTAAATTCCTTTCAAAAAATAGTTTAATCAAAAAGAGTTCCCCATCTCGTAAACAACTCAAGCGCATAAACCATTCATGTAGAGAACAAGCAATGGCTTGAATGGCCTAACTAAAGTGCCTCTGACTCTAATACTGACTGATACAGGTTCAAGCATTCAAATGAATGTGCATCTCCTCAGGACACCAGATTCTTGATGATCATTGCCTACAAATATGAAACGTGGCTATAAGACTTGTTGATATCAGTTTCCTAAAAATGTTTATAATGTCTCGGTTAATTGGTAACTTCAAATAATGTGATGCATGCTTTATTTTATCAAAGAAGAATCATCACTTGAGACAAAAATAAACATGGCTTTTTGATGCTTCTTGGGGTATCGTTCGTAAAATCACTTGCGTATGACTAACCTATGTTGTGTTGAGAAGTAAGAGCTAGTTAGAAGTGGTTTTTTACTCAAATAAACCGAAGATTCAACTTTTAGACAAATCTCAGTAAAAAAAATATATTTACCGTCTTTAATAGAGATCAACAGTGGAATTCAAGGAGTATTTGCCTGATATACGACTCATCACATGAGTAAATGGAAACAAGAAGTAGAAAAACTAAAATATTATTATTCTTATAATTAAATTAATTACTGATTTTAAATGTTTGTAGATTAAAGAAATCAATTTAAAAAACTAACGAACTTAAAATTTTGAAAAGTTTTCCTTCCATATCCATTATTTGTAAAGTCTTTCACTATTATGCAAATCTTTCGTCCATGAAAAATTTTTCAAATAGTTTATGTGGTTTTCTTGATTCTCTTTGTTATCACTATTTTTCAGCTGTACTTTCCAATGTACTTTTTTGTGTTACATAAACTAGGAAACTGAACTTGCTCACCGTTTACTAGCTGAATATCGTCAAGTTTTACTTCAACAGCAGTCTTTACATGCTAACAGTGTTAGTACACCTAATCTCAGTGCAAGTCAAGAGTTGCAAATGATGTCTTCATCAACTGCAGCAGAAGATATTGAGGGTCAAGGTGAACATATTAGTTCTTCAACTACAAAGAAATTCAGGTTCGTTTTTTATGAAAATTTTTACATTTCAAGCAAACAGTTTGCATTAATTAAAAATATTTTGTTGATTGAAATTATGTTTCCATATTGTTGGTAAGCGATTGAAAAATTAGGCTAAAAGTGGAAAGTGGCACCAATAATATATTAGGGACTATTCCTCGTAGTTAAGAAGCACCTATTTATTTCTGTTCTTTTACTTCATAAAATTTGTTGGTTAGACTCAATTTAGTGCGGAAATTTAATGTTCTTGTATATACTTCCGTCAATGAATAAAAGATGAGGCCTGTGAACTTCTACATGTTTTAAAAGAGACTTTTGTATTAGCTTAATTACCCACATAGTTTATCGCAGACCCTGATAACGATTTTATAGTTGAAGTGGGTTCTCAAAATATTATTTTTCGACTCAGTCTGGCAGAATTTGAATACAAAAACCGAATTCAATTTATTCCGCAAATTACTATCAGCTGCATCTAACCTTCATATATTTTTTTCTAAGTTTACACATTTGAGAAACAAAAGCATCTTATACTCCCAATCCATGTTTGTACTAAAATATTTCCGTGGTCTTAATGTACCATAAAAAAATTACCTCGTAAAAAGCATAATGTTTTGTTTAGCTAGGTAGCAGGCTTCTTCAAGCACATTGATTGTCGGTACATTAAGTAAAGTATGTGCTTGAAAAGTATTATTTTTAAGTAAACGTATAGCTACTGAATGAAATACAATTACGTTCGAATGGTCAAGTAATTACCAGTCATGAGGGTGACTCTATTGTAGAATTGACAAAAAAAGAGAATAACCATTATAAAACCAGAGAAGATAAATTAAAACTAATAAATATCTGATTCTTATGTTGCACTTCAGTAACCGATCATCACGAAGCTCTACACCTAAGTTTTCGCTCTTTAAAACTTGTCAGTAAGATATTTCTAATACCTTGAGGCCATTGATGTTCTAATACATTTGAACCTACTTCACTCACTGCTGGTGACATGACTGAAAATCGATCACAATGGCACAGATATATTCACTCCTCGGTATCTTCTAAAGGTTGTATATTCACACTGACCGCTTTTTTAAAAGCGTTGGTTCTCTCACATTACTTCATCTATTTCGACATCGCTACTTTTCTATCCGCCTGTTTTTTTTGTACTACTGTGACTTGAGGCAACTTGAGCTGATGCACCTGTGTGCGAGGTTCTTCTTTGAGTTTGTCAGTCAGTCACTGCTGCAGGCAGATATGTTACTAGGGACTGATTCAAGTTGTTGAAAACTGTTCTAAGTTTTATTTATTTTATCAGCTCAAATAAGAAAATCGGTAATCAACAATAATTTATAGAAGAATTTTTTCGGTTTTTGAAGTGACTACAATTTATTACTATTTGATATTCATATGTAGTCTGTTTAGCATAAAGTAAAGAGTAATTTTTCACATTCAAAAAACGCTCGAATAAAGCATGAGTGAAATTACCCCAGCATTTGTTGATTGATATGAATCTCTGAATTAAAATTTGGTAAAATAACCCTAACAGTAACAAGTAGGAATGTAAATGCTGCATTTCCTAAGTATTAAGCATCAGATAAGTCCAACTGTCAATCATAAAAAAAGGAAGTAGTTATCAATAAATTAAATAAATTCGCCAGTTGTGGGGGAGAACTCAACAATATTCAGAACAAATAACATTGCTGTTCATCAAAAGTGAATGTTAAACTTCCGAGCATAATGACTCCACAATGACAACTATTGCAGTCACAGAGTTACATAAATATGAGTATACATATTCATACTATTTTTTGTGTGTATTGCATGCAACAAATTGCTCCGACGTTTCAGTCTGTATATGATACTAATATAAGAAGAACATTCTTTTCAGTAACTTCCTTGTGTTCTAAGGTAATATGTCCATATTGTTTAGTTTTGCATCCACAAAAATGAGATTTCTAATAACAGTTTATTGATATTACTATATAGTTTGAGAATTCTCGTGTGTGGAAAGTAATATAATTGATTGAGTTCGAAATACTCAGATTATGCATTTTATTTTATACTAGAAGATGAAAATGAATCATGTTCATTCCTCTGATGAAATTTCTACGGGTAAAGCCCACCATAAGTAGAGATGAAATAAGATGTGAGTTGTGAATATAAAACCCGATGAACAAAAATAGCTTAATAAAAACAGTTGGTCAAGTTGTGCAAGTCCATAGGTATCCGATAAGATCTCGATTGCATTGATGAACTGAAAAAATGTATATCTTCATTTTTCTTCCCATATTTTTGTGTGGATGTGTATGAAAGTAGGATACAATAAACAGAGATAGATAATATGAGATACACTAGTTTAATAAAATATCGCTTATGTAAGTGAACATAATACGACAATCAATGTGACTATCTGATATGACCCTGGTATGATAGATTCACATTACTGATAATGGGTAATGATTGAGGAGAAAATCTAGGTTGCGGCAGGATTCAAACTAATGACCTCGGGATAAGAGAATAGAATAAAATTATTTCAAACTATCAGGATGAGAGGATATCTAACATACAGGAGTTGGAAATTAGTTTACATGGGATAGTAGGTACTTGTAATGATAACACCTCTTTTTCTTGAAAATATTATTCTAGTTGTTCAATCTTAAATGCTACTGCTTCTGGAGTTTGAAAAGTTGGCAGCCTATTGTTCTTTGGTAAGCTAATGAGAACCCGGTAAATAATAGGAGATGGCATATACATATCCACAGTAATGTTCGTTTGAACTAAGTGTGCTGAGATAAAGCTACTAATGAATTTTAATAAGTATTTACTTAACCAAGCTAGAAAGTGTTCATGATCAAAGAAAACTAAATTCCCAGAAAAGTGGCCTGCATAAATGGCTACATCATTGAAGTTAAACAAATAAACACAACAGAAAGTGGCTAGTATAAGTAATGCAGCTCTCAGTTTTGGTGTCATCACCATGTGTGGGGAATAAGTAATTTGTAATTTCAGGAAATTAAGAGTACTTTGAACTAGTCTGGCTGGAAACATCACCCTAAATTGTGCTTGAATGCATACTGGTTTATGCCAACCATTGAAATATATTTTTATTCCTAATCTTGTAATATCACATTTTATCTATCACAAAAAATTCTGTACATGTATTTCATTGATTGAGCAAAATACTATTGCATGCAGTCAAATCGATCTTGAGGTTTTCTGTAAGCCACTTCAGAGGCTTCGATAAGCAGAAAGCAACTACTATTGAAAAGAATTCATTTAGAAAACTGACTATATATATATATATATATATATATATATATATATATATATATATATATATATATATATACAGCTACTTGATCGAAACGGAGACATTAAATTCGTACCCATAAGACATATCGTATTATCTACTCAGAAAACATAATCAAAAGGATTCCAGTTGAAAGTCACTTCTGTTATCCATAATTTGACTATAATAGTTAAGTGAATAAATTACTCAGGTCCCAAAAGACAACATAAGATTACTGATAACTCATAGTGAAGGTATTTCATGGGACAACCGAAAACTGTTTACGAATTAGGAGTGGTGGAGGTTAGTTGAGCTACTAGGTTACTTAGAAATGACATTGATTCAGTATACAAAACAAATCCTCTGAGAACTCTTGGCAACAATCGAAAGTGATTCTCTCTTCATATTTAGTAAGCACCTTTTAACTATAAATGTGTTCATACTGTACTCGTTTTTTACCAGAAATACTAAATCAAAGAAAAGATTTGATGAATACAGAGCGACATCTGTGAAGTGTCGGGAAAATACTCACGTTTCTTCTGGTTCTATGCGTAATCCATCTGGAGTCTCGAATAACAGTCAACCAGGTGTGAAACTCAAAGTTCGACGCGATCGGAATGTTGAAATTCAGTCAATTGATTCGCCTGATTATGTTAATGCGGCGGCATTCAGAAATGACAGACGTGCTACGAATGATAGACCAGTAAGACTTTTAATTACACATAAATAATTTAAACAATGAGTGTATTACTATATCTCTGAATTTAACTAAACTGACATTGAATCTGAAGAGAATCTTAAAACAGCTCAAATATGCACTACTTATCCGATGCTACACATAACTGTATACATTAGAAAAACGGTACATCGAGGGTAAGGGCAAATGTGATTATTCATTACGTTGTGAAATAAGGCTTCATGAGATTTCAAATCTTGTGAGTAACCAATAGTTCATCTTATGCAGACAATTTAGGTAGGATCAATTACAAATACTTAATTTCTTCTCTGACTCTTTACCTTTCATGTGAGGATTAAGTGGATCCAACAGCGTTTGCTTAAGAAACCGGAAGGATTCAGAGTATCTTTCTTTCCTCCACATTATAATATTGCTTCCCAAATGACCAATGATGTGGAAGATGTTCAGTACACCCCTTCAGTTGACATATCCAATTAGCCATCACTTATGAACTTATGTTCTTAGGTAAGCTCTTCCCACAGTCAGATAGCACTAGTATAAGGCCTCGTCTTATTATGCAAAGGTTCCATTCACCATGCTTCAAGTCAATGCTATAGTTTGATGACAAATAGTTGAAGACAAAAAAATGTGGTAGTAAGCAATCAAAAAAGTAGCATCTTGTGCTTTATTCTGTCTTAAATAATCCCCTGACCATCTGATAATCATCGAAAACTACTCACGCATATCATTAAATCATAAAACTACTTTTACTCAATGACTCACTACTCAAACTCAACAATGCTGCATCCTCAATCATTCACAATGCAAAACCTTCAACTTTGGCACTGCATCTCAACAAAACGTATGCCATTATCGAGTGAGCGAAATCGTGTTCACTGTCTTCTACCCTCCTTCAAGCTTTCCTCTGTTATGTCGTAATCTTATCACATCTGACTGACTTCTAAAATCCTCTCTTTGACTCACTAGGAAACTACAACTTTTAAAAATAGATAAATAGACAGACAGATATATCAGTTCAGAATTTGACACACAGTTGCACCACTCCTAGTTGTCACACTTCACATTAGTATGCGAAGAAGAGGTTGATACAAAAGGCATAACATTGAAGTGTACAAAAGTGGATGAGAGGTGAAAGATTCAGTTGATAAAGGTGATTGGAATCTTTCATGACTACGAAAGTGACAATGGTGACATGCATCAATGTCATAGTGATAGAGTTTTAGCCATATAAACTAAGATTCTGAAGTGATTGATTCTTATTGTCTTGATTATGCGTATCAGGCCGCTTGCATCTCTCTATATGACAGCAGATAGTATTAGTAGACTTCATGAGCTATTGTCACTCCTTGTCGTGGTTATGTTCAGCCTACCCCACATCAAATCCTTCTTCGAATAAAACCATATGTTGAAACATGTACTGAAGCTGCATAAATCCAATGGCTGACTAGATTTCTTTACCTGGTTATCTACAACTAAACTCAATACTACTCTTACGGTGATTTTACTGCAACCATCGAATGCTAGGAAGGCACACAGGGTAAAATGCCTGTAACTACATGTTTAACACCATCAGTTACTATGTTTCACATAAGTAACACAGAATGAAACAAACTGCTGCGCACTAACCTCATCCTTTGACATGTATTTGAGTATCACATTCGTATCATGGAGGGCTTAAGACAAGTGTGTTTCATTTTCTGCTGTTCATTAGCTTAATTCGTCTTCTGTCCCTAATGTTTTATGTATCCTTTTCCGTATTGCTGTAGAAAGATTACATTGTACTTCACAGGATTTCTAATCTTTCAGTAGGCTGTATCATGCACATCACATTCTACCCATTGACACGCTTTTTGTCTTCATGTGGAACAACAAGCGTGTTTTGAGAATTCTTAGTAGAAGAGTTTTTTCCATGATGTCAACTATACCTACCTTATTCACTTTGCGTCTCAGTCAACTGAGGAAAGAATTGGTTTACTGAACAAATTGTTGGTTCATTTTTCTGTGATATTTCTGTTGATGTATTTGATTACTTCTCTTCAGTTATTCATTACTCGGTAATCACTGTTTATGATCGGAAGCTTCCTACAAGTATCATATATCTTATTATTTAATATTTCGTTACTTGAATTGTATCACAGGATGGCCAAATTTAGTTCAAGATCAAAGAAGATATGACTTCTAACTAATAGGTTTCAGGGTATTCAGACCAAAGTTGTATTGGTTTGTTTTGAGAAGCTGACATCAACCTGATCTGACTCATAGTACTAGGCTTATTATACATTAAGACTATATTAGAACAAACAAAATAAATTATTATTGCGTATGATACCTTAATATTTCAATTTGCTTAAAAAACCTTCTCGAAGAGTACCATTTACAGGAAACGGATTTTATCGTAGAGCACAGTCCCTATAAATACAGTTTTTGTATGAACCACATATCATTCCTTACCAAATGTTTATATTTCTATATATTTTTAAATTTATTCGCAAACAGAATTTGGTGATGCCCACCACTTCATCATTCTCCTGAAATTACTTTAAAACCTTGCTAACTAGCGTTCAAGCAAACCCGTACGGTCTTTTGAAAGGTGGCAGTGACGTATAGCTGAAATTTACACACACAAAAATCATATACGTTTTACCTTATCGAATCCAGTAGACTTTCTTCTAGGTCAAATGGCATTATTGAGCTAGCTTTGCTTAATTTCTTGAAAAGAAAAGAGTTGTCGATAAGAGGATTAAATTTTAATACTTTTGCAACAACTAAAAAACATTTTAATTTTTGCGAAGTATTTCTTTAACACTAGCCTTATATTAATAACCTTGTAACTACTATTCTGTATAACTGACCACTCATTCCTTTTCTGAAATCGTAATTTCCAGTAACTTAAATTTTAGGTATTACAGTCATCATCAGACCATGAATGTTATCGTTAAATAACCTGTTTAAGATATAAATAAAAATGTGCTGAAGACGCACAGTATTATGGATAAATTGAATCGAATTTGGTTGAAATTCAACAAGAGAATAACAATTAGTTAAGGTTGGTTGTGTTTCAAATTCACAGTAATCACAAAGTTTACAGATAAAGCATTTGTGTGTTTCTTATTTTTGCATTAAGTCCAGAGGCAGTCTTGAGCTTAGAGATATCAATAAAAGACGATTCGTACCACTACAATAACAAGACACGCAAAATGTTATGCAAGACTAAGAGGTGACTAATCATTATAGTCACTACCGCACATGAAGTAAAGTGCAACAGTGACAGAAATGCAGAATCATTTTGTGAGAAATGAAATAGAAAATTCATTTTGTATTACTTATAGATTTCAATGTTTACACTATGTTATACAACTATCTAAGAATATCAGTGCTAACAAGTTATCATTTCATTTTATTCATTTTCTCTCCGATGTAAATACAGGTTTAACTTTATTTCCTTACGCTTACTTTTCTTATTAAAATAGTTGAGTTTGGCCAGTTCAACTGATATTGATTCAAATGCAACATTTCGTGTACTGTCAAGTTTTGAAATGCGTACTAGTAGCGGTGGTAACTTTTCTACTGGTAATCTAATTCTTCAAAATGGTAGTATAGGAAGTGAAGAGACAACAATGGGTTTTTCAGTCGACTTAACGAATTTAGATAGTCAACCTGGAGTTGATTCTAATACAAGTCAGTCATCTAACAAATCTTCAGATCAAGGACAAAAGTTAACTTCAGAAAAAACTGTCAATGAAGACCACAAAGATAAAAATTCGAATAAAGAAGTCTATTCACGGGAGAATGTAATGCATAATGAGGCTGAAGATTCAAATGCTTATGGACAACCACCTGATCTGTGCATGATACAAAAAGGTAGTTCATTCTCAATTAAAGACTATTTAAACAAGCCACGGGCGAAAGTTGAATATAATCAGTTAAACTCTTTAAATTCACAAAGTACACAACGACGACATATTATAGGGGAGTATGAAAATCTTGAAGCCATTTCTCATGAAAAGAATAAGAAGAACAATGTAAGTCGTTTCTTGAATTTATAGGTGTTTCCATTTTTATTTCATTTAAACTACCTGAAATGTAACTGAATAGCTTAATTTCACTAAGGTAGAACCTCTTAGTACAATAAACATTGTTTACGTCAACTCGTGGTAAACCGGGGAACAAATAGTGACAAATTGGATTTTTTATCCACCCAAAATTAACATAAAGGATAATTCTATCATGAAATATTTTCCCTGTTCCAAAATGCGAATCACAACACTTTATCCAATAGTTTCCCGTTTTCTTCATTCTCATGATATGAAAGCAGTTTTTATCAAAATCCTGATCTTCCTTAGTTAAAATGCTGACCAATATACCACTGCATTTAGTTAATGTAAGATTACAGCTTGATCAATGCGATAGAATTTAACCTCGTAATGATTTGTAAATATGATGTAGAACACAGTGATGAAGTATTATTTACCAGATAACTTTATGTGCAAAGTACATTGTCGCATAAGAACTTCATTTTTGTATTCTGACAGCTGCTTATTCTCTTATTTTCAATGGAAGTATGATTTTTCGAAAGGTACCAATAGACGGCGAACCACTTAGGTTGGTTTTGTTAGTTGTTAATTGGATGCAAGAAGATTAAGCATTCAAACCCTCTATTTATCTATTTATGGTGTAATTATAAGTCATTGGACCTGAGCTTTTTGTAGATTGCTTATCTTAGCAAGGTTCGGCATTTAATACTTTGCTAAATTTTTAGGCTCCAATATCATAGTGAATTCCCAAACCCACGTTGACCTATGTACTCATAATAACATCAATATATCTGATAGATTAGATTATTCTGCTCATGCAGGTTAGTAGACGACTTTAGTGTTCTGGATTTGTTTCCCAGTGAGTTTTTCGGCCTTAATGCTGTTATAATTCGAGTCCCGATAGAAATACCCAATAGAGTTACCGACGCTTTTTCTCTATATTATGATATCGATTCATCAAACACTAGGATTCCAACTGGTGAAGGTTTAAAAATTATTTCTAATTTATTAAACTCTTACACAACGTAGACAGAAAGATTTCCACTGAGTACAAGTGGCATCACCAAATTAATTATGCAAACAAACTAACGACGTGGCTATGAGTTCACTTGTCCAACTCATAGTAGCGAATCTATTTATGAGTATATTTGAAGAAAGCGTCTTTTAATATTTACTAAAGCTGAAAGTTTGGTTAAGATATTTTAAGGACACGTCCGTAGTTTTAGAAAGTGACATGGACTAGGTATTCCTAGGTCGATCGAACACTAGATCCCCAGTATCCTGTTCAGCTCTGAACGAGAAATGGATAGCCAGGAACTACTCTAACTTGATTGTTTCGTTAATTGAAAAGAAAGTGGACATATAGGCATGACAATTCTCACAAGAACTACACAATTAAACACATATTTGCGTTTCAAATTACTACATACCACTAGTGGAAGGTCTCCGTTACCTCCAGCTTTATACACAGGTCAAGCACTTTCATAACGAATGAAAAATAATTTTGGAGGAGATCCTCAAAACGAATAATTATTTGCCAGTTTCCTTCACAAAATGGTAAATAATACTAAACTAAATTGCAAAAGTTTTCCTAAATCATAGGTCATAACAAAATTCATCGCACGCAGGTGGCACACCTTGAACGAGATTAGGAGAGTGCTCAAAAAACAAAATATTAGTGCTCCACTGAGTACCCAACACGTGGTAGAGCACCTTAGTTCACGTAAAGTGGAATATATCGAATCAATTTCAGGATATGATTTTGATACTGTGGTCAGATTTTATAGAGAGCGTGTCTGTTTCCCTGTCCATCATAAATCTATGGTGGGCACACCTGCATTCTTTGCAGTGATGTTAAGACATAAGTTCACCATTTACATCGTACGAAAAACTATTGAGTTTGACAAAATGATAGTAGAAGTAATACCCATCATGAAGTGTTGTTTTTGACAAAATATGATATTTACATACACTACTAGTTAAAACGGTAGCGATGAGTGATTTTATCGTAATGCAGTTAACTATGAATGTCAAATCCTTACTAACAGCTACGTGTTTGATATTTTCTGATTTGATTTTAAAAATGCGCTACATGTTTCAGTGACTTGATCAACCTACATTCTTGTCTACTTATGAATTCCTCCCAAATGAATAAAAAATATCACTTTTGTTTCCTTAGTTACCGAACCATCTGTGCAATTTCATTCATCAGCACTATGACAGTAATCAATGTGGGTCACCTGATTCTTATGCTCAGGCCTCGACTCTTGGTAAAAGTTTGAGCTTGTCTCACAATACTCCTCCAGCATCGCTGTCAACTATAACTCGTTCAGGTACATCTACAACTCCTTCACCTTCAACTTATTCTGGAACTTCATCAACTTTATCGTCGTCGTCTTCTTATTCAGATTTAGGGTGCTTCGATACAAACCATAAAGAACTATCACGGAAACTCTCATTGGGTTTGAAACCGTACAACACAGGAAAAGATGTACAACATTCTTCCCCATGGCACCATTACCGTCATGTAGAAAGTGGAACCAAGTTGAATAAAAATTACAGAACAGAAGGCAGATACCATGATATTCCCCTAACTGTCATTACTCCTCGCTACAGGCGGCGGATTAAGTATTGTAACTGTAATTGTCACACATCAGTAGATCACCTGAAGATCATCAAAGGTAATTCATCACGAGCTCAGACAACCAACAATTTAAGTTTGATGGATGTGTCAAATCCTACTGTACACAGACGTATAAAACAAAAAGCTCGATCTTTCGAACCTTTTTCAAAGATTATGAAAGCTAAACCTTCTGAGCACCACTACACATCCGTTTGTTTGAAGATGTGAATAAAGGTGTAATTCCTAGTGAAAGTGCTTCAAGTAATATTCAAGAGTATCAGCGGAAACATTTAAAGTCATCAAACCGTAAATTGCATCATATTATCACTTCACATACGCCAATTGACATCAATCATCTCAATCATCAATCCTGCTGTTTCTGTGAGAAGATTGATCACAACTCACATGATGATGTAAGCACATCTGTAACCACTTCTCCTACTGATAGTCCTTGCCTGTCATCTGCATCATCCTATTCGTTTTCCACTTCTTCTTTGGATGTCCAGCCAACATACAACTGTCCACATCACCTTCATATACCAAGCTATACATCTGTAGTGATAGCTCATAAAAATGAAAGAAATCATCGTGGTGGCAGTTTAGAGCCAACTAAAGCCATAAAACGTTCTGTTTCACGTAAATCAAAATCTAAACACTTTAGTAAACCCTCAAAACGTCAGTCATCAGTAAGAAAGGAGCATCATGATACCAATACTCAAAGTTCATGTTCAACTGCCTTACGTTATTCAGAAAATTTTAAACATGGACATTGTAGCTGGTGTGAATTTCATGAAGCAGTTTCCAAAAGAGATTTAGTAGAACATTACGAAAAGAAGAAGAACAAGTTTAACCGTCACTTACCTTCTCGATTACCTGTTAATGTTACTAATAATAATCTATCTATTCATTCAAAGCATTTAGAGAATGAGTTAAATAAAGATGACAAGCCCCCTACTGTTAAAAGACTACCTAATGAAGTTAGTAATGGTAATGAGGACAATAGCAATAACAGTTGTACGAATCGTGGAGAAATTTATCCTACAAATGATAAAAGGTTAAACGATTCACGTATTGTGAAAGATTTAACTGCGAATAATTCGTACTATAACAAATCCATACGAAATGTAGACAATGAAAATTCGATCAAACCACCACGACCAAAAGATTTAAAATTATTCTCAAAAAATTCAAATTCAGGTCATATTGACCTTAAAAAGTATAGATCAGTAAGTACAATATCGTATTTTTTTTGGTTATATAAAAATAATTTCCGCCTCCTTTATACTAAAAGGTTTGAAAAGAACATGCTCTTAGTTTGTCGATAAGTACTGGCAACTCAACCTGTTGGTGTTCTGATAGAGGTTTTGATCTCTGAAGTCAAGTTTTCATACGTTGTACTTTCAATACTAGCTTAAATGACATTTTACTTTAGCTCTGCAAAAAAAAGTTACTAGAAATATTTTTCATAAATGCTTATAAAGATGATTTTGAATAGAAATTGATTGAATAAATACTTCCTTTTCGACTAATCTGAGGACAGGAAGTTTTATTAGTGAAACTTCATTGTTTACATTTCTTTCCATGGATAGGAAAATTTAGATATAATTTGTGAATCTATTAAGGAAAAGCTAATAAAAAAGGAACTTTAAATACTGCTAAGGAGAAACACATTAACAATAAATGAAAAACGGTAAATACCACCAGTACCACAATGAAGTATAACATGAAATAAATTTTCCAAAACTTTTAAAATAGCAGATTCTATTAAATCAAACTAAACCTTTTATAGTATATTCGGTGGGGTATTTTAAACGCAAATTTATTTTATTCTCTCGAAAATAAAGCTTATTTGCAACATGATGACGCAAAAGTATTTGTTTGTAAGGAATTTATTACTAATTCCTAGGGAATATCTTCCTTACCCTGGAAGAGTACTAAACAGTGGCGTTTGAAAATTTCCAGCATATCTTTATTTTACGATTCATCTATAAAGTTTTTTTTTGACAAACTCACTCAAGTAACCATTCTTTCTCTGAGTTCATTCTGATGCCATAAAGAATTATGTAATATTAAAAAAACTAGTCAAAAGTCCGTGGGTTGAATTGTAAAGTTTGTATGGGTCTATATATTCTAAAAGTAGAAATCCACTCGTGAGTGTTAAAAAGCAATTCGCAAAATTCATAACGGAAAAATAATAAAAACAAGGTACATAATCGAATATTCACTTAATAAAAACTCTGTGAAGGTATATAAGGAAATAAGTATACGCGTACAAAATGTGTGATCACTGAAACTGAAGTCGTTGATAAAAACAAAAGAATTCTTAAGTAATCCCTTTTTCTTTCTTAAAATACTGAGGTTACGAATCTAGCTTCATACTTCTTGATTGCTGTTTAGCGTCATATAGAGAGATGCAAGCGGCCTGATACGCATAATCAAGACAATAAGAATCAATCACTTCAGAATCTTAGTTTATATGGCTAAAACTCTATCACTATGACATTGATGCATGTCACCATTGTCACTTTCGTAGTCATGAAAGATTCCAATCACCTTTATCAACTGAATCTTTCACCTCTCATCCACTTTTGTACACTTCAATGTTATGCCTTTTGTATCAACCTCTTCTTCGCATACTAATGTGAAGTGTGACAACTAGGAGTGGTGCAACTGTGTGTCAAATTCTGAACTGATATATCTGTCTGTCTATTTATCTATTTTTAAAAGTTGTAGTTTCCTAGTGAGTCAAAGAGAGGATTTTAGAAGTCAGTCAGATGTGATAAGATTACGACATAACAGAGGAAAGCTTGAAGGAGGGTAGAAGACAGTGAACACGATTTCGCTCACTCGATAATGGCATACGTTTTGTTGAGATGCAGTGCCAAAGTTGAAGGTTTTGCATTGTGAATGATTGAGGATGCAGCATTGTTGAGTTTGAGTAGTGAGTCATTGAGTAAAAGTAGTTTTATGATTTAATGATATGCGTGAGTAGTTTTCGATGATTATCAGATGGTCAGGGGATTATTTTAGGCAGAATAAAGCATAACATAGAAAAAATAAAGGGAAAGGGGAAGATTGGATCATCGAACCACAGGAATCCTTAGTACTGATGAGATGGGATGTCTCGTCTTATTCAAAATGATCTACTTCAAAAATAATTGAACACAATCAATTTGAAGCCTAGGTCTAGGTGTATGTTGCAAACTCTGTTAACGTTCCACAGTGTGAACCACGGTAAAGCATCAACCGTGACTTCAGTGCACGAGCACGTGAACTGTACAGTAGATAGGTACTTAGATGGTACTTTGAAATGTCAATCAAAGGAATGGATAATGGCGATTGATCTTTTGAAATTCGCTCAGTAAACCACCTACTTCTGATCAACATTAACTTCAAACGTGTATACAGAAACGCTGTCTGACATGGTGTACACCGACCTTAACTGGACTATAAATGCCCATATATATATATATATATATATATATATATATATATATATATATATATATATATATATATATACTGACCTTGGTTATTTTAAGAACCTCGGGCGTCTTTTATCTATCTAATCAATAATAATGTGCCTCTCAACAAATGTAATACTATGTTTTTAACGTATGGTGTAAATTAAAATAGGATTTTTAGACATGTACTGTACTTATTTCACTAGTCCTCTGGTAAAAGAATTTCATTCTTCAAAAAGAAAATCTCAAATGAATCTCAGATCACAAAACACGATGAAGTTCAAGAAACAAATAAGTTAGGCGAAGAAGAAAGTAACCAACCTAGTTGTAAGGAAAGGAGAAGCTTGCTTGGTACTCATACACTAACTCGCACTCCTCTTCCATCTCCTGACTTAATCTGTGGACCTAATGGAAAAAAGAACAACCTTACTACAGGAACACTTCGGCCTTCAAAAATGTCCGATCTTCGTCGTGAGACTTCACTTAAAATAAATGGATCTTCGTATATGAGCAAGACATGTTCCCTAGAAGACACTCCGGAGCCTGAAAATATAGGAGCAACAGGAACTAAATCAAGTGCTAAGAGTGATATCTATCAACAAAAAGAACTTAGTGGATCTTTGCACAATACTGTTTTTAGACCATATAGAGAACCCAATGCCTCTCCAACGATATCATTCAAACAAAAATCATCTCCCACAAGTGAATCATCTCCATCACGTGGGCTAGTTTATACTGCATCTGTGGTATTCAGACCATCGCAACAACCGGACGCCAAAAATATGAGCGGCAATGATTATTCAGTCGACCCAGAAAAATCAAAACCTCAAAATCGTCAATCTGAACCAAAAACGATGCCACTTCGACGTGGTTCAGCGGAAACAAATTATTCAAATAAAAATACTTCAACGCTAAGAAAAGGCAACACACTTACACCCCCATTGATTGGAACAGACGTCAGTTGTACTCAAAATGAAATCAAAGCAAAAGATGGCAGCCGACCGCAATTCCATGGTGTTTAGGTAAGTATTGTATATGCTGGTATTTTGTCATTATATACGCACGGTTACTGATGCTAAAACCAACTTTGAAAAAATTTTTAATTATAAACTTTATGGACCAGCACAATAATAAGGCTACACATTTGAAGATTAAGTATTACTATTGTAGTGAGTTATTCTGATTGCAATCCCTAACCTGGCTAATATAACTACCGCTATAACTCATTTAGTATGATGAAAAAATTATCTTTCATTCACCTGCAAACTGAGCTTAACTTTGGGTACCTGGTGGGAAAAGGCTTCTTTCATAGCAATTTTTTATAGCTTACATAGAAGAAGACTCAACTAGATGTTTCAGGACACTTTGTTGTAATCTTTTAGCTTATATTGTTATAGAAGTCGAATATAAAAGAATATTCTTTTCAATAACTTCTCATCAGGCTCTACACTTATAAAAACAATTTCGCTACCACTTAAAACCACGTCTATGTCTATCTACAAATTCACATGCTCTTGTGGAACTGACTATATTGAACGTTGTAAGCTGGCCCTCCAAAAACGCATTGTTGAACATTACCCAGTTTGCCTTACTAAGAGAGAGTAAAGAAAAACAATTTCATCCATGTGTGAACATCCAGTAAAGTTAGGTCATTCAATTTCTCGAGGTTCATCCTTTAAGGTAATCTACAGAGTTAGGTTGAATTACTCCAAAAGTCTGCGTTTCTACGACTTATGCATGGCTGAACTATTAGCCACATATGAACAAAAACCGAAACTCTACCTTTAAAACGTTTCGAGAAACCACTTCCTCTACCTTGGTCTTAACAATTCATTTTGGTTAGTTTGTCAATTTCATTTCACTTCACTGTGTATGCTTCACTTCTATTATCATCATTATTATCACTCTTTTACACTTCATTAACAGCATTTGTCTCTTATCTCACCACTTGTTATCATTTCGTCCCCTATTCAATGACCCATTTATTATTTCTTCTACATGAACAAATCCCACCATCAACACCAATTGTATATTAATATTGATCTTGGTGACTAGCAGAGGAATCCAGGACGCGACTTTCCTCCTATTTGCGACTCTTCAGCTGATGTACCTGAGTGAGGTTTTCCCCACTGCGTCTCAAACTCATTATCCATCGCTTCAAACGTCAGCGAGTTGTCCATTAAGCCAAACAACACTAACTAGGGTGCAGGCACATCAAACGCGCTTCCTGGATTCCTCTGCTAGTCACCAAGGTCAATATAACAGCATGAGTATCCAGTAGTACAGCAACGGGAAATTACAAGTATCATAACACCAATTGTATATTTTGTATACTGACCAAGCAACTTTTTAGTGCATTTATCTATCATTTTACCGATTATAAATACTACTCTATAGTTTGATAATGAAGTCGCTGAAAAGAAATATCTCTTCGCTGATACATATCCTGTTCTTATTCATGAATAAATAGATATATTTAGTCAGTTTCTTTAACACATTAATTGCCAAAATCTACAGCGAATGACAAGAAAAGAAGACGCCTTAATGAGAAAAGGTGTATATAGGGAGACGAGTAAAGCACAGTATACACACTTCCTTAGCTTTGTACCAATGAAGTACCAAAAAAATGTTATTAGATGTTCAGCGTTTACAGCTAGATACATCCGCTCTGAGGAATGGGTCAAGAAAGAATCATAGGTCCTTCAGGATATTTAAAGGGATATCCTGAGAAGTTTACAAAGGCAAACATCTCTCATGGTACCACAAACATGAGTTGACAACAGTACAGAAAAAAACTTTTGTTTCTGTGTCTATCATTCAAAGGAGATACCCAGAGTGAAATTTGTCACAATGTCTATCCAGAGCAACCTTTCAGAACCTTTTACTCGGGACGTCTGTTCCTATCCTTTAACAACCAACCGTTGTTCAACCCGAGACTTGAGGACCGCTTAACTAATTTGAGATCATCATCATGCATATGTCTATTCAGCTGTTCCTGTGGAACAATTACATAGGTTCCACTGTTAGACACGTCCGTCTTAGGATAAGAGAACATCTGCGGGCATGGTCTGCAAAGAATGAGATCAAATTCATTAGAAGTTATGTTATTGCAGATCTAATAGATACAGGACACCAAATAGACTCCAGTACGGCTTTTGCTTTGATACATCGCTTTTCGAAGACTCCACCATCTGCCATTTATTTACGCATTCTCCATATGAAGGAAGCTGTAGCTACTAGATCAACTAAGCCTGAACATGTTCAAGCCCTACTCCTTCCTTGGCCTTCCACTAACTAGACGGTAGTCCTTCAACCTTTTTGTTTCCTTCTTAATCTTTTTTTCGCTTCTGCTTTCGTTCCCGTTCTCTTTTCTTGTTTTAAAAAACAAGATTATTGCTACTACTATTTGTAACCAAACTTTTCTCCCGTCTTATTACAATAAGCTTTTAAAATTCCTGTTAAAATTTTTTCACATTATTACTGCTATAAATCTCTCAATCGTTTCACATTTTGACCATTTTACGATGACAGATCTACTACATTTCTGCCCTTTCACTAAATTCATATCATTTTTTGTGTTAATCACTCACCTGACACAATGCAACCTTGAATTTTATTATTAATTTACCTTCCCCATGCATCTGATCACCAGTCAATTGACAAGGTTTATACTCAACTTATCACCACAATTGACATATATATACAGTAGCATCCACAGGAATGTAATTTTAAGCATAATTCCCTACCCGTTCTAAGGACGACTTTTAAAGACCAGTCTAGCAACGATCAGAATAACCAATTAGGTTACTTCATTTTGGCTGGAAAGGTGAATTTTCATAAAATAAAGAAGTCTGATTGGTTAAGTTATAGCTAGGGTCACCTTTAAAGTCCCTCCAATCTAAAATGCATTCTCCTCAAATTTTCGCTTTCATATTTTAACGAAATTGATTTTATAACTAGAATTTGATGTGAGGTTATTGTTAAGAATATTCTTCATTCATATTTAACTTTAATTGTTTAAAATTATATTGTTATGTTCATCAAATTTCGCTCCAGGTGATCACCATTATTATTCTAAAGTATGTCATAAGCGCAAGTTACACCAACTAGAAATCATCTATTTTACTCACAGCTTGAAAACAAAATAACCTTAAACTCCTAACAAGTTAAATTTTCACTATGGCTTGAACTCTTAGGGGTGGTGTTCCATAACTTGTCTGCATTCTTGTTTAGTCAAACACTGGACAGTGGGGCGATTAACCTAAGCTACCACTTAAATAAACTGAAAACTTGTTGTTAATGCGATAAGGTTAATTGAGATTTCTTAAGCACCTGCCAAATTTGATAACACTGAATAACCTAAAAGCTCATCAGTTATCAGGCGTTTAGCCAAACAACACTTCTTTCTAGAAATAGTTCATTTATGTATGTCATAAAGTTTAAAAAGAATAGGGAGGCAGTGCAAATGTCAATATATGTCTTCGAATTATTCCTCATGAATAACAGAATTTCTGAATAGGGATTTTTAAGTTTAAGAATACAGATTTAGATACAGAAAGTTTATTAGTACATGAAGTTTTGTTCATATTTCAAAATATCCCACTTCTGCATCAACTACCAAAAATATCGGAAAATTATTCACGTTATTGCAGCATTTCTGCCAATTGCCTCCAACCAACTAATGTTTAATTTTGCTGTAAAATACTGAAATTTAGGAGTAATAACAGTGAAAAGTTTGAAACGTTACTTTTAGTACTGGGTATGATTTTGACCAAATATCTCCTTATCAGTAGGATTCTTTAACATAATTTTTTAAAAATTAGACCATATGATTTTACCAAATAGAGTTTGAAGCAAATTGTATTTTGATAAATTCTCATCAGGCTTTATATCTACATTTACAAATTATTCAGTGTAGTCATTGGTACCAATATGAATAAATTAATTTGGGTTTATGAATTGGAAAATAACAATGAAGGTGATAATCACTCTTGTTTACCTGGGGTAGCTATAGTTTGGGAGACTAGTATTGTACAGGGTGATGATTCAAGGTGGAATGAGAATTTGGACCGCCACCGGATTCGATTCAGCAACCACCGGGTTTCTGATCAGATGCTCTACCAACTGAACTACAAGGTCCGACAGGTGATCAGATTTTTATTACACTTTAGTCACCAAGGGTTTTCCCTATCTACCATGTGAATTCATGACGCATTACTATCTCTTGATCGTAATCACACTGGCTGCCTAGCTCAGTTGGTAGAAATTTTCATTTTACTTGAGTCATCACCCAGTATCAATACTAGTCTGTCACACCATGACTATCTCAGATAGTTAAAATGATGATCAATTTGATGCTCTTTTTCTCTAATTCAGTTACATTTGGATTGAGATGAGAAGTCCTGACTAGGTAGCTGGTGTGAATACGATCAGGCGGCAGTAACGCGTTACGAATTCACATGGTAGTCAAATAAAACCCATAGTGATTGAAGTGAATTAAAAATCTGGTCAGCAGTTGGACCTCGTAGCCCAGTTGGTAGAACATTGGGCGAAAAGGTGATAATAACAGGAACAAAATCTCGTAAAGTTTATATATTCTCAGCAGTCAGTCCTTGTAGGTATGTGAGTAAATTGTGTGTATGTAGGGATAGAGGGAAATAAAATTATTGTCGCATAGCGATTAGGTAATAAAATGTTGAAATTCTTAGTCAATTATGAAACAATGGGTGAAAAAATATGATGATAATGATAAGAGTACAAACAGAGATAATATTTACATTTATCGGGTGACCGGAAGGAAATTATTCCAACTGTATCTCGGTTGAAGTTGAAGGTCATGGGAGGGAAAAGGAACCAGCAAACGCCTTCTGAATACATATACTGGGTTTTAAAATTTTAATTGCTACGGCTTTTGCTATACTTAGCAATCGAAGGCGCACAAACTTAGAGTACTGTGCCGAATAATTTGTAAGTGTGAATATAAAGTCTAACGACAATTTACAGAAAATTCGTATTTGCTTCAAACTCTGTTTTCTAATTATCCCAATGAGAATATTTAAATTATATGATGTTATCTTAAGTAGCAGACTGATTCAAGTATACGATAGCTATGATTGGAAATGTATGAAATCCTGAGTCATGGTAGTATCAGGATTAGTTGCAATTTACTACATGTGGTCTTATTATAACTGTTTTGTGAGGTTAAACTGCTACCAAGTCCTAATTTCACTTCAGTTGTCCAGAATTTTACATAGCTGTCATTTTACTGACTCTTAGTAACTGAAGTGAATTCGGTACGTGTTTCTGTAGCTTAGCTCATAGGGTTCAAAGTCTGCAAACATGAATTACCGGTTTGAATCTTACTGTAAACCATATTTTTCATTGGCTACCGTCGTCATCCCTGTTTTTTTTTCGGAAATCTTAATAGTCAACTGTGTATAAGGACAAAACTAATCCAGCATGGTTTAATTTGTCTACGATGCGTTATAAATGGCTGCGAAATAATTATGTTTAGAACTTTTCTCTATTTGTGCCAATTTCACTTTTCATTAAGAAGTCATGGCCAGTGGGGACCAACTATGTCGAATATGAGGACAGGTAGTCAACAACTGCACTAGATGTAAGTCACGCTATATCGTGAACCGACAGAAGTAGGAAATGTGGACCATTGGCTCAATGGTAACATGCTGGACACGGAACATGAAGGTCTTGGGTGCGAAGTGCTGAAGAATCCCATACTAGGACAATCCACCTGTCCAGTGCTCCCAGGTTTCCAGTGTTTCTTCAACTGATGTCAGTCCATTATAAATACCGACCTGAATTCGTTGTTTTTATTGTAACTAAGTATTTCCATACACTACAAAAAGTAGCTTAGTATTTCCAGTTGAAGTTGAGCATCTTTAACGATTGACATCACTAGCGTATACTTAGGCCAATGTTAGTTTGATAGAAATCAAATTTGATAAATGTTTGTTTTTATTTTTTCCAATTTAAATTAGATTGTGGTCACTATTTTACTTTTTGTAATACATAAGAAACCTCAAACATAAATTTGAGAATTATACTCTATTTTAACCTAGTGAAAATGAGCTGTTTGAATAATTTTAAAAATTAATAATTCATTCATATTTGTTTATTTTTAAAAACAGGTAACCCTAGAAAAATTATTTGACTTTATATTTGTATATAGAATGGATGCGACTTGCCTATTCTAAGCCATTCATTCTTTCTTTTTGTGTGTTTTCCACTAGAACTCATGTGCTGTTCGCAGATAAAGATATTCAATTATTTACGTGAACTATTATTACTACAAATCTGTTACTTTCTCATCCTAGGTGTTAACACAGCTTTCCTATTGTACATTTCAATTGACTGTACTATCCTTATTTCTAACATTTTAATATAACCATTAAATAAAGTCATTATGTTATATATTGCCTCCATTTCTTCGCTTTATAAACGTCAGCGGACTTGTACAAACTCTAAGAATCCTTTCATATTAGTTCAGATACTTGAAAAATTGGAAGTAAATAAAATTCAAAATACCAACTTCTCATCTATTTACGACGTCGAAGCTTTAGTTACTGGCTGAATATGAGATAGTGAACTCTGTGATACCAAAGGTTTCTTTCTCTTCAGGGTTCCTTTCAAAAGTATATATATATATATATATATATATATATATATATATATATATATATATATATATATATATATATATATATATATGCCAGGTAACAAAAGGAATGCACTGAATGTAAGAGTAGAATTAGGGCACTGGAATATAGTATGATTCCTAAACCGATATATCACTTCTTAAGAAACTCATTTAAGACTTCACCGAATGATAGCCAGCCATAATGAAGTGAGTTTGTGCTTAAGATTCTCAAATTATTAAAACAACATAAAATGAAATACATCAGCATGGAGTTTGAACTTTCCACAATTTATAAAACACTGCCAGAAAACCTAAATCGAGCCAATAACATCTCTATGGTATTACAACTCATTTTACGTGATATTTCAAACTCACGTTAATTTGACTTGAAAGCCTAATATAGAACTTCATTTTAGGTATGAGGAATCTAGTTTGAGAATATGGAACTGGTCACATAAAACATGATGGTTATTTGAATGAATCATTTCATTTGTTTAAAAAAAATAGTGAAATTATTCGATCCGGATTCCAACCATAAAATGTTCAAGAAGTTGTAAATATCATAAAACCTTATAGCATTCAAAACTATAAACAATAATGATAGGTCACTGTAACTAAAATCACCTAAAATAGAAGTCTGCTATCACCGTCACAATGGAAATCTAAATGAATTCGTTCAATAATATATCAGAAATTATATTAGGATGAATATGCAGACACCCAACCGCTTCACCCGCATCTACTCTAAAAATGCATATATATTTCAAGATAGAATTTCAGAATTTAGAAGCAATCTAAATGGAGAGTATTCTTTTTTGCAATAAATTCTTATCAGGTTCAACAGTTAGAAAATGTATTTGCACATCATCATCATCATCATCATTATCAACATAGGACCAGGCATTACTGCGTAACGGTCCGAGTTGCCACACCTCATATCAGCACATCAAGTAAAAGGTAGTGAGGCGAAGGATGAAGATAAATGAATGCAGTCAAAAGAAATATAAAGTACGAGAAGAAAGGAAAGAGGAGTGACAAAATAGTGAGATTCGGTATAGCGCTGTTAAGATGAGGATAATGTGTGTATACATCTGCGCCACTGACTTCGGTTCTGAGCCATATCACCTAGGGTCTCCAACCACTGGTTCCTCTTGTCCCTTGGACCCCAACCACCTAGTCTGCATCGTCCTACATGGCTTAAACCAACAGTCAGAGACTTCATACATTGGTGCCATGTATTTGCACAGTAAAATCAAACCAAGTTAGAAGCACTTACATTTTCAAAACGAAGTGAAATTTGGGGATTGTAAAGAAATAATTTTTTCTTTTTAAATTTTTTTTCAATATTAACAAGACATATATACAGATAAAAAAATGTGATAGTAAAAAAAGACATTAAATAATTAAGACAGGGTTTACTTAAAGCCAATAGAGTAATAACGCTTGAAAATGTTATTTCTAAACGGAAAGTTCAGGTTTGATCAATCTTATGGCGACAGCATCCGCTATGCTGAATAAGCTTTGTTGACCTACACGTGGTATTGTTTCTGGTACACTATGCACTGCACTAAAAACTCTCTTACTATCTTTGTGATACCCTGTATTTACTAGATGCACTAATTAATAAATTTCCACCACTTTCATTTCGCACTTTCCGAACCAAGCAGGCGAATGTTCTCGCATCCGGAGGCCCACATGCCTAATCATACACCTTAGATAATTTGTTTCATAGGAACAATTAAATTGATATATCCAGGATCAAAAACTAAGATTAGGTAGGCTATCCTTTGGTCCGGGTTGAGCACCGGCCAATTACTGAAAGATATGCAAAGTCAACCTGAATAAGGTATTCTATTTATGCTCTAGCCAGGCGTTGTGATAGGATGTCATTTGGAGTGTCTCCCATTTTATTTTAGTCTCAGAAATAAAAGCTTTTTCAGTGTCATCAATTCTCGTTTGGGATAACTGTAAGCGATGCATGCTTTAATGAACTTTTCGGGATACCTATCTTGACTTGGTAATCTTTTACACACTTCTTGAGAAGAATCGATCCTACTCCAGATGATAGGCACCTGATTATGTTGCGTTTGTACTTTACCAGCACGAAACTGAGAAAGTATGTCTACTGTATCTTATTCGTCAGTTTTCTATGTGTAATTCTCATTATAGAGTCATCTTTTCTTGTCACTAGTAAATAAAGAAAATGTATCGAATTACTGATTTCGTTCTCGCAAGTAAAATGAACTGACAGATGAACGCTGCTGAAGTGATTCTGTATAGAATTGCTGCGTGGACACTTATCAAAGACTAACAAAGTATCATCCATATATCAACAGTACAACCGCATGGTCGCAAATTGATCTTTCAGAGAACTATTATCCGATTTTGCCAAAAATATATCTGGAAATATAGAGTTTAGTGGAGATCCCATAGTCCCTCCGTCAACTTGTCTGTACTAATTACTACTAGAGATAAACTGCACATTCATTGTACATTTCAGCAATACTTCCTTCAGATTCACAAAAGGAATCACAGTGTATAACTTCCTCTCTAATAACTGCTTGCTGATGTAGTACACGGTGTCGTCTAGAAGGATGTTACCTAACGAAAATTTGACGCAAAGAGACCACATTCATTTACTTAATAAATTGAAATTTTGTACTTTGTCTACAAATTAGAAAGTGCCTTTCACGCTAAATTTTGATGACTTGTCTAGCTAAGGTTGAAGTAATCTTGAATGGATGGTATTACTGTAGCTAGTAATTACGAAATTATGAGGAATTGAAACGTTCCACTAAAGAGACACAAGCCAAGAATGAGTAATCAGTGGAATTCTTTGTATTACAATAAATGCACTCATCACATCAGAGAATGAGACACCTTTCAACGACTTTATATTCAAAAGCTAGCTGTGTAATTGTTTCGAGGAAGATATTTTACTTGGATTTCGAACTCAAGGGGGATGTTGGTGATGATATTCTAAAAAAAATCGCTTGGAAAAATCGATTCATGAGACGTTTCATGCAGCAAACCTACCCCTGTGGGGCTAGATATAGACGTCATTCATCTAGGCCGATCCTTCACCGCATTCGAGAAAAACTCCCAGTGTGGTTTAGTAAAGGATAAAAAAGACCAGCCAATTAATCTATCTTATAACATAAGGTCGATATGTGACATTCGGTCTTGAATAACGCATTGGATACGATTTAAAAAATCCAACCAAACCTTCCTAAAAGTTTATCTCCATTTACTATAAATTACAGAAGCCTTGGCAATTCATAGTTTGAAGCTAGAATTATGCAGATGAAAACAATTTGTCAAGTCTTTTTTCGTTACTATGATCCTAAAGGAATTAAACTAATATAACTAATAAATACCTTGAACATTGATTACTCTCATACCAACTTGTCTCAGATATTTCTAGTTTCATTTTATTTTTGCCTTACTTTGTTTCGAATTATTATTATTGTTTTCGTTCTACTTACATTCCTTGATTATCACATGCAAGTAATTTAAGCCTGTCTTATTAGAATATTAATACTTACTGCTGTCATGCTCCCTTACATTAATGAGAAACATTGGTTCTACAAATACCTTCCATATGTTCCCATTTATTTCCATATATTTGGAAAACTTTCTACCCTACTAACACACCCCACTACCGTTGTCCACAGTCACCTGATGAACACGCACCTAACGACTTGGTCAATAGTCCCAATGGTGTTTTTTCACCAGAACGAAACACGGTTGTGTATCGCTTTTTAAACACAACTCACTATTATCACATCACTTCGAAAACCAGACGCAAACAGTGACTAAAATTCTAATTTAATACAAGCAACAAAACTTATCAAAACAGGATTTATGGAATTCATAAATTGCAGTACAAGTTGCCAGCCTCGCTAAGCTAAAGTCACCCGGTCAAGCATCCTCGCCATTCGGCACGCTGTTGTGTTACGTTGCACTGCTCATAATCGATCCTCTAGCCAGTTAGTTGGAACATATCGGTATCTTGGCATGACCTCACAAATATACTATTTCATCCAACTACGCTATTGAGTTCTTTCTTGGTCTCGTATTTCTGAGTATGTAACGAGTTCGAATAATCAGTGATTGGCCTCTGCGTCTATCAAGTTCGCATCAGGACAATTATGTGTATGTATTCCTCCTTTGCACAACAGAATATAAAATCATGAATATAGAGTAAAGAGCCAATGAGTCATACTGAAATTTATAATATATCTTTGAGATGAATGTGGATTTTAATTCTGAGGTAGTATTCATCATGGATTGACATCAGCTGGAGAACCATCGGAAACCTGGCAACACTGGACAGCCATTTTGCCTTAACGTGGAGCTTCTCAAAAGCACGCACCCACAACCGTCTAGGGATCGAAATCAGAACCTTCTGGTTTAAAGGCGAACGCATTAACATTTCAGCCACCGGATCGAAGTCCAATGGTTCACAGTTTCTAACTTCTGTCAATTAGTGATGTATCGCGACTATCACCTACGATCTTTATGTGGCATCCTCTTCCCTTCCGAATGGTTGATCACACGGATCACGATTTCCCATTAGAACTTCGTGACATCCATCTGGAAGCATGTGATTACTGAGTCTGCACAGTTCTCCCAGGTT